TCATGTATTAGCTTTAACATTTTTTTATCTGCCTGAATGATCAAAACCAAGTAACATTATGTAGCGTGTATAACCAACTCGACTCAACCCACCCTTCAATCTCTCGTCTATCCTTCGAGAGACCAATCTGGACTGATATCGCACGCCATACAGCGATGGGAATAGAGCGCTGATCACAGACGGAGCATTGGTTGTTCGAGCTGTTTATACACGTATTATAGCTGTAACAAGCAGACTAATTGCACTATATTCGCCAAACAGCCAGCGAGTAATAGTGGCGGGTCAGAGACCACATTGACACTCTGCTTGCGCTAATGTTACAATAAACACCATTCAGGCAAAATGTTCAGACTTTTATCTACTAACTTTGCCTTGTTAGCAGAAAAGTGATTTCACCTCATCACATAAGAGACAAAATTTTTGAGATAGTTGAGTCTACAGCGACGATGTTAACACATCGAATGCTAAACGTAGACTGAACTGAAATCTAAACGTCTGAGGTTATATAACAACAAAAATAATGAAATTTTTCAGAAATTAGTTTTTCTGCTTGTGGTCTCACATACCAATTTTTTATGTGTTCCAATCATATATTTGTTGATATATCATATTCAACATTCTTTTTTTCAATGAAAAACGAACATTCTTATTCACGATTTGTGAATTCGAACGAATATAAAGTAAATTGAAAATGTTTACTTTTTCTGTTTTGTATTCAGTCATTACTGCAAGAGAGAAACAGCATTAACACAAATTGATTAATATATAAAATTTTTACAGTAATACAAATTGATAGAAAGTATGATAACATGTTTCTCGGGTTTGAAATAGCGGATTCAATCAATTCAAAGTTAAAATGATAAGAAGATATTTTTGTCAAGAAGCTGCTTGGAATTAAAATATCATGATTGCAGATGAACATTGAACAATTTCAGAAATGAAACCAATAATAAACTAGAAACACATATTCGCATTTATACATCAGTGCAGTAAGAAAATCATAGACCGTGATTGAATTTCATTTTTGTTAACACTAGAAGATTAACGTTGAACAGATGTCAAAAAGTTAAGTCAATTACAGTAATCGACATAAAAAATGCAAGAAATGACCTTCTTGATCAACAAGTTGAAAAAAAGAAAATCTTTATTCTTTTTGTCCATTTATTTTCTAATCATACTATCATCAAAACAATAATGTCAAGAAATGTCTTTTTGGTTAAGTCGTAGAAGAACTCGACGTTCCAAACCCGCAAAGTGTTGACTTACTAGTTGAGGTAAAACCAAAACCACCGAATCCAGCAGTTTGGATTGGTTTCTGATGAGGAATACCGACTATTTTGATAACTCATTCACTCCGAGAGAATTTTTGCCCCGACTTTCGCATATGTAAAATTCGAGGCAAAACTTCTTACTCGAGGCAGGTCGAGTCAAACCTATAATGTCATTTATATTTTTATGATGAAAATGGAAAAATGTTCAAATACTTTAGCATAATATTTCTCGCACCATTCACGTCTCGATGTGTTTCATATTTGCACTTGTCGCAATAAAATGTTTCATTTCCACCCAATTGTTTGTTCTTTACTCCACAATTCCCACATGTCATTGATGTGTAACTTTCATCTTGAACGATTACTTCGCAATTTGTATCTCGAGCTCTATGCAGCAATCTCTCTCTGAATTTGTAGTGTTGCCAGCATAACAGGTCTCTGTTGCTTCTCTTTGATAAATGTTTCGGTCTGTCTTTTCTAACAATTGAAGAGACTGATATTTTACCAAGAACTGTGAGCTTGTAATGTTTCACAAGATAAGAACATAGTTTCAGATGTATGTCATTCACGTAAGTTTTCAATTTGAGATGTAGTTTCTTTAACTGACCGATTCGGTCATTCTTTGCTTGTGTTTGATTTCTCTGTATAGCGAGTGACAATTGTTCATGCACTCTATCAATTTTGTCATGAAGTCTGTAAATTATTCTCTCCTTATCTTCTTTGCGTCCGACTTGAAAGCATTTCAAATTACTTGGGTCGTAACATGTTGCGAATGTTCTACCACCAGGATCAATTGAGCATATTGAGTCTGATGAGTTAACATGTATTTGTCTAGTACATATGGGATCACATGGAATATGCAAAACAAATTTGCCATTTGCTCGTTTGCTAATCTTCATATCACGACTAAGTGGTGGCAATTTTGATACATCTTTTGAAATTTTGAGATACCTTTCTTTATAGTTCTTGCTTGAGTGTGAAAAGCTAGCTGGCATCAGAGCTATTCTCGATTTTCGAAAAAAGTCATCGGCATTGTCTTTTGTTGTCAACAACCGTACAAACTGTTGTTGAACTTCGAATGATCCTTCTCGTAAAAAAGTAGTATCCTTATTGTTTAAAACAACTTTAGATTTCTTTTGGTTAGACTGTGCTGATTTGTACATAGCACAAAATGTTTTGCAAGCAGTCCCCTTGATACATGTCATCTTATTGTCGAAAAACCATTCATCTTGGGGACGTCTGTATTCTGTTGGTATGTCACTTGCATTCGTTTTACTTACAACCTTTTGCAAGTCGAAATGCTTCGGTTTGAAATTTTTCTCTTTCACTAAGTAATTGCACCAATTGTAAGCATAATTACTTACTTTGAGCATTTGATTCAACGTTCGTTTTTGTTTCGGTGTTGGTCTAATACCAACAGAAAAAGTACACATTACCTTATCTTTTGATTTTAAAAACTTCGATTTAGCTTCCAAGTCTGAGTAATGCGTTTTGCTTGTTTGTGAGCTATCGCCTTTAATTTCAAACATTTTTACTTTATCAATCCAATTTTTTAATGTTCCGGAACCTTTGACAAAAGCAGCGTTCCACAATATCAATGATTCGTGTTTTCGCTTCATGTTGTAATGCGGATTATACTGACAGCTAACTATATATACTTTTTTTTCTAATACTTTTTTCCAATTATATTTCACTTATGCTTGTTCCAACAAATTCGAGAAAAGGGGTCGCTCGGAGCGAAAGAGTTAAATAAAAAATCAACAACGATTGTTAACTGTATAAAACATTTACTGTCAAAATCAACATGAGTAACAAATATGATCGAAATTGAAAAAAAAATGTTTACCTTTTGTTTCATAAATATTCATCAGTGATCACTGTCAACAGTTGAATTGCTGAAATACACAACGCAAATTCATAGTCTAAATATCAAGTAATGATCGATCAAGATACATATTTTTTTGCAGTAACAAATGTTATAGGTTTAGTAAAGAATTTAAGTACGCTAACATTTTTGCCGAGATTAAATAAAAATAGATTGAATCTTTCTATTTACAATAGACTACATATTTCTTGCATTTTACACGATATGATATCTACAGTACCACATTATCACCATTGATTAAATATTGAAGAGAAAATATATAGAAAAAATATTGTAGATCCTTTTCACTGTCAAGTTAATTTGCAATAAGAATAAGCGGTTTTATTCAAGCAAAAATATTTTCAAAAAGCCTAGGTCAAAATAAAGATTTACATTAAAAAATAAAACACCAACACTTTATCAGCAAACAAATTTTTGACAAAAAAAATCGTAGAACAATGTTGATCTACTAAATCTATTCAGTGATAAATTTACCACTTTATTTCAATTTAAATTCATTTGTCAAAATAAAGTTTTTATATGTGATTTATATTTTCATCAAATGTAAAATGAAATCGGGTTCGCAGACAAATAAACACGAAGAAAAAAATACCATCATTCTCGATACACAAAAGCGAACAGATTTTTTTTTCCTCTTGAAAACATGAAATATTTGCACCAAGTAGCATTTCAAAACATGATCCGCTGTTTTACACTAAGTTTTCGAGCGTAGAAAATGTCAACAATTGATATTTTCCTACTGTGTAGATATCGTTTGGAGAAATAAACCATGAAAGCTTTTTTCAATATTTTTTCAAACATGTCCAATAAAAAATTGATCTAAATCCATTTTTCCCAGGCAAAATATTAACATCATACTGAATGTAAATTTTACAAAACATAAATCTAGATCTAACAAAACATTTCGCTAAAATATTTTAAATCGCTATTCAACTGACTTTCTGTACTCCGTAAATTTGACAAATAATTGTGTCTATCTACTAAAATATTCACACCATATTAAGTCTGCATTTTACAAAAAAATAAATCAAACAAAACATTTCGCTAAAATATTTTAAATCGCTATTCAACTGTACTCCGTAAACTTGAAAAATAAACTTGTCTATCGGGCCTATCCTGCCTATCAACAAGAAAATATTCAACTTGTTTACATGTTTTATCAACCCAACATTACATCGTCAAAAGATTCAATTTGAAATTCGACATAAGACTCATGATGATAGATCTACGAAAATAAAATCAAAATTCAACAACATCAATCTCTCGAAGTAGAGTCTAATCTAAACCTCACTCTCTCGAAGAAAATAGCATTTTCAGACTGAAAATACATTGATATTCTTTTAAAAAATTCGCCAGAGTGAAAAGTATAAACAAATGTCACATACCTCATAAAAATTAAGTAAATATCCAGTAATTATCCACCTTAAATTAAATTTTTTAACACAGCAATTTCCAACACGGCCGAACATTTTAAAAGCGAGACTTGTTATGACCCGTTTGAACGTTTTCCTATTCGAAGCTATATTGATGACGTAGTATTGATGACGTCACATTATAATTATTTTCTTAGAACTATCAAAGGCGAGCTAATTAGCGCCATATTAGTCGATAGAAATATATTGTGTATCATTGAAAACGAAATGACTTTGACAGACAAAAAAAAAGAGTAAATCAAATAAAAAAGAGGAGAAATATACCGACTGTGCCGTATTACTGTAGTACAGTAATTATAACCTGCAGTAAATACTGCAGAAAATCTGAATAAATACAATAAATATACATTTTTAAACGTTTACGAAGTGTTTATTCATTTTCTGAATATTACCTATCACATATTGTCCAACATTGTACTGTCATTCCATGTGAAAGCAAAATTATTGTAAATAAACTTATTCAGTACGGGTTTTGATAGCATCGGATTGTATCCCCTTGATTATCAAGCGTCGTTTGTTTGACTTTGTTATTGTGAGAAATGCAGGAATGGAAACGTTTATTTTCAACGGATTTTTGGGGCGTTTCAAGAAAATAAAGGTAAGCAAGTGTGTTAGATCGGGTTAGATCATTAACTATTAAAACGATAAACAACTTCATATGAAATATCTAGCTTGTTTTATTGATTTCATGCACTGTGTCAACAAAAAATGTAAACAACAGCTTTTGATCATGCATGCTGAATGATACAACAGTTTGACATTTTCACTTTGACATTTGAAATATTACATCAATATTAGTCAGATACAATGAAAATTGTTTCTGCAAAGTTGCCAGGGTGCTTGAAAGACTATTTCAATTTGATCAGAAATGAATTTGTCTGTAGAAAAAATATAGCAGAATCTATAGATAAATTTAATACTGACTTTACTCATTGAGTGTTCTTACTGCTCTTAAAACAGTACTGTAGAGTAGTTTAGGAAGACAAACTGAACATATCTCTGATCATGTGTGTAACAATTGAAATTGAGTAAAACACTGAATTATCAGAAATACAGACCTGTCATGAATGAAAATATATGTATATTTATTTCATACAGAAATTTGCAAGCATTCAAAGCAAAACACACCCTGTAACTAGCATACTGACTTGAAGAACAGGACAGATTAATCTTTTTTGGATCACAGTATCAAGTAGCTCTTCTATTTATTTTCATTTGCATGCTTTTTCATGAAACACACAGCAAATTTCAATACTAGTTTGAATAATTAATACAGTTACATGTCCAAAAATGTCTCACAAATTGTGTTTTTGATGCCATATGGCATTTGTTTTTGATGTAATTGTTTCTTTTTATACCCCATGTCAATGTATATGCATTTTGTCTCCTTTATTTCTTACATCATGACTGAATTAACATCAAATTTCTGAAACTATTTTCAGAAACATGGTCAAAATGTGGGTTGTTACTAAGATGAACAATTGAAAAACATCAGTAGCTGGAAAAAAATCAAGTCATGTGCAGTGAAAAGAATAAATACAACACAGTAATCAGGTAAAATACTTTTTTTCAAATAAATTGTTAAGTATTTTGGTCATTTATTTGCTAAACTTGACATATTCACTCTGGAAAATGAAATTTTGTATGTGTTTGAACATGCTAAGATAAGATTGTAGGTGATTTTCAAAATTATAAGACAAAGTACAAAGTCTAAGACACACTTAACATTTAATGTCAATATTTTCTTTTTCAGATTGGAATCTTCTGTAGTATTGAGAGTGGATTTTTTTACAATGGACCAGAACTCATGATTAATGTAACAGTTGCTCCATTGATGTGCATAGCTTATTGTCACATATCAGTTATGGTAAGTTGTTTTCAGTTAATATGAGAATTTAACATCATTTACATCATGTTTATATCTCAACCTTTTTGTTTTCCCTTGGTGGTAAGTTGTATACTTTATATTTCACTATTTTATCATCAATATGATGTTTACAAATCAATTAATTTGAACTACAGATATATTTCATATGTTTTATTTGTTTGAAGTGCTTATTTGATTATGTGCATTTTATTGATATACTTGTTATACTTTGACTCAATGTCAGTCCATTTTACATTCTGTAATCTTATTCATTTTGTGAAAAGCATATAAAATACTGGATTTATTTCATCACAGATAAATAGCTAAATTGTTAAATGATTTACATATATTTTTTTCATTTTATATTTTCAATGATTTCTATTTTGTTTTCAGACTGAAAAGGACAGTTAGCATTGTGGACTATGTATTGGTGATAGAGAAATAAAAATTCACACGCAAAAAATATCCAGATATTGTCAGAAAGCATAAGATGTTGGGATGAAGTGTACATTTAAGACAATGAAATAAAATTCATGTCTTCAATTTTGCATTTTTTATTGTTTATTTCAAACATGTATGTATGCACAAAAAAGGATTTATATCCTAAAACACCCCGGCCCAAACAAGGCGGGGGGTCTAAAAAAGAGGTGCCCCCCCTAAATATTATCATCAGATTTTTTTACATATCAATTATATACCATACACCAGTACTGGAAAAATATTGAACTTGAAAAAAATGCGTTTACGTGATGTTGAATAGTAAGACTATTGTCCGGCTTTCTTCTTTCTGCAAAATGTACTGAAGAACCATCTGCTATTTAAAATTGTCATTCATTTTTTTTTTAAATATGTAATAATGTTCTGAGTGGCTTTCTTGAACGGTCTTTTCTTATAACATCTTAATTGTATCTATCAAAAATAGTGATCTCTATATACATGCGTATTGCGTTGATTCTCACTATTTGGCCAATAAAATATCCATGCATAACAAGGTGAAAGAGAGAAACAAATGTGTAAAACCAAAAGCACATTAAATTTTCTTCATACATTATTACTTAACATACAGTATGCTTAAACTTGTTCAAAAAGAATGTTTTAACATAAGCCAGAAAATATTTTTTGTCAAACGACGTTTGCTGATATGATACTGGTTCGTTCCAGGAAGCAAATTCGAGAGTTGCACAAATACGCTCTCAAAGCTGTCATCAAATTCAAGCTGAAATAAATATGTTAATCTAACATGTGTGAATGTATTCCTCTGTGATTCTTCTGTTATTGTGTAATAAAGAGTCTGAAACATTGATATTGTTTGAGTAGAAAACAAATATTTACCAGCACTGGAGACACAGAAGTAATTACCCTTTAATGTCCCTCTATTAATATAAACACTGCTATAACAACGATTGTATAAGTGTTAAGTAGTGAAGTGTAGTTCTTTGTTGTTTAAGAGTTGTTTGGGCATATGGTTACTTTTTCATATTTTAGATGTGCTTTACCAGAAATTAAAGAGTTGTTTTGTTTTTCTTCTTTCAGTTTTATTAAAAACCCCAATATTTGTCAGTAATGCTTTTATTTTTATTTCACGAAAGTCTTTACTTTTAATGTCCTGTTAAAGTTTCCAGAAAGTTACTCGTTGGTAAATTACCTGATCAATTTTTTTTGAAAATAAAATAGTACGATTATAGTGATTGGAAGTCAAAATACTACTTTGTTCACATTTTGTTACTTTTATGAAGGATAATTTTACATCATTTAGCGTGATAAGCATTTAACACGCTCTAAAACAAGTTTTAAAATGTTATAAAACTCATGTTTGCCCTTTCTAAAGAATGAAAATAATATTCGTTTCTGAGGTATAATGTGCTACATAATTATGCTACACAAAAAGTTTTAATTCCATTTGTCGTTTCTCAGCGATGAGATCTTTCTCTAATAAACCTAGTTGTAATAGTTGTAATCTTTTTTAATATCAGATGGTTTAGTATGTGATAGCTTGTTTATATGTGTATTTTTGCGTATTGTTTAAAGAATTGTTTTCTTATTTCTTTGTTTTCTTTTTGTCGTTTTTTGTTTGTCTGTTTGTTTCGTAAAATTGTCAAATCTTACTTCGTCGGTTTAACATTGTATTCATCATCATTTCAGTGGTACATTTGGACACTTAGTACGCTAAATATACCAAATTAACTTGTTCGTCTTTCAATCTGAAAAGAAAACCATTTAACATTTGAAGGAAAATTTTCCAAATATGTAGTGCCTCAATAGCGAGCAGTACAGGTCATGATCAGACCACACTGCGTCTAATCTGGGACTGAACTGATATATGGGTCAAAACATGTTGCCGTTAGCAAGCTATAAGTTCATCCAGACAATATTAAATTGTATACTCTCATGATACCTTCCAGATTAACTAAAGTGATTTTATTTACCGTATCATTTTATGACATATAAATTGTTTCCTTCATATATAAGATTGTTATATTTTAAAAAACAGGAAATAAACTGAAGGATGTTCCATAATTATGTAACATACTTTATGTCTATTACAAAAATGTATTTCATTACATAAAAGGACGCCAGCAAAAATGTATTTTGACATTGACAACCAAAGTATCGCACCATGCAGCGTTAAGCTGTACCATTATTTCTGGCGTTTTTAATTAGTAATTGTCATAGAGCAATTCTAATTTTTAAGCAATTTAAGAGTTTGTTACATACAGTTTAATGTACCTTTTACAGTACATGCACATTTTTTGGTTGTTAATACTATTTGATGAACACACGTTATTTTCTAAATTAGAATTTAAAAACAAAACAAACAACAAACAAAAAACAACAACAAAAAACAACAACAACGCTATATGTGTTAATCTATTAAGTAATGTTCACCAGGGAATAACAACATTTCTCAATTCTCCACTTACTATTGACTGACGGGTGTAATACTATAAGTAATTAAGTGTTAACACCTGACAAGTTATTAATCATTTCCCTGTCTGCAAACAATCATAGCTTTGTATAACAACAGAAGTGATTTCACGTGTTACCTCATTAATTACTGTAATTTGAATACTGGCGAAACAATTCAAAACAGTATATTGCTTCTGAAAACATTGAATTAACAAAATGAGGAGAGAAGTCACCCATTGTTTAAGATGTTGTCTGCCACTAATCGCAAGGATCCTGGGATTGCGTCTAAATGAGGGCACGACAAAGTTTCCAGACAAAATGCTCATACTGTTTGTTCAAGCTTAATGGACACGGGAATATGGTTTTAATAAGCTTCAAGTTTATTATCATCAAAATCAGTCTATTTAAACAAATTAACCATTTCTTTTTTCTAATATTTCATGAAACGTTACCAGTAGAGATAATATGCTACAAATGAGGGGGTGCAAGGATACGAAATAAATCTAAAATGTCGAAAGGGAAAACATAGTTTATGATAAACGTTTGATCTATCACATGTACTGTTTTAGTTGTTTAAAAATCTGGATAAAGTGATCCCTCGGAAGCATTAATGCTTTCTGGGGATCACACTTTATCCAGATTTCATAACAAAATTAATAGAAAAATGCAGGCTAAGTTTGATTGAGTCTGTACATGAGGGATAATGATAAAGTGCAACATCCCTTTCGCCCCCTAGCACCGGCTTGATCGGTACTTAAAGTGTTGGAATCAATATTCCGAAGGACCAGAAAAATATACCACTGAAGTGAAATACGGGGCAACATTCTACAGCTGCCACACAGAACTTAACACCTGTGTGCTGTTGTGAAGTATAAAAATCTGGATAAAGTGTGATCCCTCGGATCGAAGCATCAGTCACACCAAAATTGCATGAAATTTGTAGACTCGGTTTGAATGAGTCTTTAAATTCTTCATGAGAAAAATGAACGTATGAACATGGCAACAGATATAAAACGATGAATTATTATAGTTTCTATATTATTTAAGATATTAAAATGATAATACATTACAAATGTAGCATACTGTTCCATAAAATCTCATTGTATTTGAAAACATCCTCTAGAAAAAATGTTTGGGCATATGCTCACTTATCATGAGTTTTGTATGTAACAGACAGGCAGCTGGTGCCTTTATGATGGGCCTATTGTCTTAGTTTACAAGTGTGAAGGTGTGATGTCTCATAACATCAAAAGTTTTATTTGAAAAATATTCCTTTTTTAAAGGAGACCAATTCAGGACGAGGTTTCTACCCATTCTATTCAGTAGTTTTGGAGATGCCAACGTGCACTCAAAAACTTAGCCAAAGTGTGACACCAAAGACGATGCAGACGCCGACGCTGGGGTAAGTACAATAGCTCTCCCTATTATTCAAATAGTCCAGATAAAAATCGAGTTTTCAATTTAATTTAAAGACTTTATTTTTGTATCAGAATCTATATTTTAAATATTATTTTTTTACCATTTTAAGTGAACCGCTTGATCTATGTAAGAAAATCAAATGTATAGTTTTATGTCTGTCGTCAAATGATCAGGTTTTTTTCAACGCAGGTTATAGATTTAAATCTCTTGACTACTTTGACTTTTTTAAATTGAAATACGAAAACTGATATTCTACGCTTTTAGAATGTATGTTAAAAAAACAGAATGGCAACTCAGTTTTGTTTCGTTTCAAACTCTATTATACTCAAGATAAACAAATAAGCAACTGGGATTTAACTTCCATCACGCAAATATTCAAGAATTATAGAAATTTATTTCGAATACGCCTTTGCATTTCATCTTATTCGTAGCGTAGTAAAATAATAATTTCTTAAGGATATGATTCATTTAAATTACTGAGCATTATTCCGGAATAAATTGGAGAGATATTTCAATAATGAAAGGTTTTGTAAGTTGAACATTTCACATTTGCACTTCGAAAGAGATTTTGTAGACCAAGTACAGATATTTAAAAACGTTTGAAAAATGTTTAAGCCTCCATGTGAAAAAAATAGCGTTCATGTTTAAATGTTTACAAGACACATTGGTCGCGTGGGTTCAAACCCCGTCAGGGGCAAGCCGTTGTTTCCGTGAACAAGAAACTTTACACTTAATATTTAGTACTGGTTTATTCCACGAACGGATTCAAGAGTGTTTCAATAAGCTTATCTTATTATAAGTACTTTAAACACGGATCGCAGTTGTCATGTTCGAAATTGTAACTATGAGTTTAAGGAAACAGCGTGCTTTGAGGCATAATTTAATATTTTTAACGCTTACAGCTCCTCTTTGTTGCTATTAGAGTTATTTAATGAATGTATCTATGTTTATACTAATTCATTTTAGTTCGATTTTGTCGATACATCAACGTCATTTCTTCATATTGTTTGTGCTGGTGCGAGGCGCCGTTATATGTCGTTCTTGTCGCTAAATGTCGCAATTGCCGCTAAATGTCACAAAATGGTCGCTAAATGTCGCAACCGACCTATAACTTTTCCCCTCGACTTTTTGTAGAATTTCTAAAACACTAACAAAAAATGTCGCGGATTTCTTTCTGTTCCACGACATTTTATAGAAAAATGAGGGATAAAATCTAAAGTATGGACACTAGCGGCCACTGGAGTCAAAATGATCCTTGCTGTTTTCAACAACTGTTATGAAAGGTTTATACGTTGTCCGCGATATTTTGTACGATTTTCCCGACATTTAATGATAAAAACGATAAAATTTCTCGCGGGTTTGATTAAGTAACAAACCATGAAAGAATTATATTATGTGGATGCTGATAATAAAATGTAACGAAACTGTAATTTACATGTATACTATAAATTAGATTTTTTTAAAGAAGAATCTACGTATAATGTAAGTGACGTTGCAACTCCAACAAAAAAGGTAATTTGGTTTATAATTTAATCTATATTAATTTTTATTTATGATGTGTAAGTGAGTTGTGCATGAGAAAAAAAAAACTCTACAGAAGATATTGAAGCTTCTATTTCTCATAATTACCACGATGTAGATTATTTTTGACGGTATAGAATGCTGTACATTTAAGAATATATAAAGATCTCAGCGGTAGTCTTGCTTTTCATTTTCGTACGTCAAAATATCGAAATTACATAATTATTTCTCTCTGAGATACACTTTGGCAAAAGATAAACCTCTGTTGTCTCAGAAATAACATGCATTATCAACTTATTAATATATGGAAAATACCATAACACGTAAATATAACAAGCTAATGAGATGGACATTGAGTTTATAGTGAAGATGAAAAAGTAAGATGTAAATAAAAAAAAAATTTAGCTCTCGTCGCAGCTGCATTTCTGGAAATTATAGACAGGACAAGAAAAAGTAAAATAACAGAAATAAATTCATGTTTTACGCGCTTGAAAGCCATGCCTTTGCAATAAAAATGAAACTTTTTTGACAATTCGTTAACTTAAAAAATATTTTCTCATTACTTATATCAACTGTAACGAAAGGCTTAAACGCCCTTCATCTGACAAACTGATTCTAATTTTCTCATTGTTGTAATATAAACATGAACTTTGTTTTTATTTTTTTTTTAACAAGAATATATGCTGGAAATTTTTCCTGAAAGAAATGTGACTTATACAAGGGAAATAACTGCAATGTTATATAATTTACAGAAAATAAGATTTGCGTTCCTTTATGTATCGAATGGTACCCATTTTCATGAAACGAACGGTAACTTGCTCAAAAGCTGATCTCTCCGACATCAGACAACATCAACAAAAATAGCCGGTGTCAACAGAAAACTAAAGAAACTTTGAAATACTGTAACATAACAAAAAGACCCGTTTTTAGCGCAAACATATAGCTTTGATAATCATTACTGAGTATTCTATTTTAAATTTTCAAGCTACACTGCGGCTTGTATGAATTCATATCGATTCTGTAATTCTAAACGTTCAGTTAGACGATGTGATTCACATGAAAATAGAGTAGGCCTTTTCAAATATGTATAGATTTCTGCAAACACAAAACGTCCGGCAAAATTTTAAATATACAAGAGAAAGCAAAACTTTCGGATCTCAGTAAACTGTCCCCATATACATTTTAGCATTATAATAAGAAATACAAAAAGGAAAGTAAACATGAAATCGGTATCACTTTAAATGGTTTTAAATAATATAGCAAAATATTTTGACCCACCTATTAGTGAGGATCATATTATTGAATTTCATTACATTATTGATTATTTTAGGGGTCTCCTCACGTAATTACGGAAGGTGGCTGCCTGGCTGGTGTTTACTACGTCACCTTCCTACGCAATCTCCACGCAGTGACCTCCACTAAATTCTTCGGCGTTAGTGTATTTATAAAGGGAAGTAACCGCTGCGAGGAGTTTGCCTACGCATTCTCTTACGCAATCTCCTACGCAGTGATCTCCCCTTACAGGATTAGATGGTTACTGGCCATAGCGTAACCGGCCTCGGATTTTTTTATTTTTTTTTGCACAGAAATCGGAACATCCTCGGCTATTATTAACAGAAAGGGTCGAAAAGTTACAATTGATTGCGCGGCAAACTCGCAGTATTTTTACTTACAGGGGAAAGTTTATTCATAACATAAATGTTTTCCATATTTAAGTACGTAGAGTCTACTAAAGATTTATGATCGTTTTAAAGAAAGTCATTTTGCATTATATCAATATAATGAAACGTTATAGGTTCTCTCTAACATTCATTGAATTAATTTACAAATGAGAAAAAAAAAAATGTTAAAGATCCGGTAATCATTTTTTTTATGATTTTATATCATAAATATAATGCTCAAATGAAGATTTATCAATATTGTAAGTTCCAAAAGATATTACCGAATTTACATTTTATGTTAGTAAAGGGAGGTAATTAGAAATTTATTTTCTATAAAGGCTAAGTCAATTTTTACAATAGGAAATGAATGCATATATTTTAATGGTATTACATATAATGTGGACAAATATTTGCAGTAGATATCTTACAAATTCTTCGACGTTTGAAAATTGTTTTAGAAGCATAATTATTCACTTAAGTGTGGTAACAACCTTTATTACAACATACATGATCTTTATATGATATGTCAATATTTTCTCAAACACGTCTTTGGTCCATCATTCTGCAGTCACATGATATTATTCAACAAAAAAACATTGAAAATTAATTTCCGAAACTAAATCTAAACTATAACCGTTAAAAGTTTCAGTTAATTAAATTTTATTGTTCCTGTATGTAAATGGGTGAAGTTTCGTTGAAATCTGATATCATAAATACATCGGCTATTTATACAACGATCGATATACAAAGAAACTTTGTTTCAATGTAAATAAACACATTGTATTTGGATGTAAGAACTTAAAGTTTTGATTGTGTACATTATAAAATGGGTGAGTAAAGATTATCTTTACTTATTCATGTTTTTGTTTTTACTTTCGTAACACTTTGAAGGGAAATCTACTTTTGAAATGTTTAGGTAATTGTTACGTGTGATTAAAAAAAATTAAAAAGAGTAAATAACCATTGAAGTTATGGTGTGTTGTCAGTTTTCTATTTTATTGCTTTCAACTATTTTAGTGAATGTGCATGGGTCTTTTAATCGCACTGGTTTGCTGGCTGTTTCAAGTGCAAATATTATTTGACAAAATCAAACAAGTTTCATTTACCCAAATGAGGAAATCCAAATACATACATGTATTCAATTGAGAAGATTACTAGTTTCTTCCGTGTGCTCAACCAATAGCGCTTATCTAGATTATTTAAAAACAGAATACTAATTGTTATAAATTAATTAAATTATAATATGTAAATCATAATCATGATCTAAAAGGCTTTCGAAATATCATTCACGTTATATTGAACGGCTGTTATAGAATATTGCAGTGCGCATGATTATGGTGATGTGCCAACAATACCGAATCAATAACTAGGACATTTTATGGCCGATCTATAAATAAATACAGTTCACAGTTTCGAAATATCAGTGATAAAATCAGTTGAAGTAATCATTTTATTTGGATGTTTGTTAAATATAATTAGCCGTAAATGGGTAAGTTTGAAAAAGTTTACTATTTAACTTAAGATAATTACCCTAAGTTTCCTGTATGTGTAAATATTTAATGAAGGGGTATCTTTTGTTTTAAACAAGTTATCAGCAAATTGACTCTCAAAACTGCTTAAGTTTGTAAACATAGATTTTTTTATCATTTATTTTGTTTGTATTGATACTAAGGGGTATAGATAAACACATTGGGCTAGCTCATGATCTTTGTCTTTCATTACACATGTGTGTTGTGCGTGTTTAAAACGGCAACTTACTAGCCATTATAATGGCTGTATTTTATTTCATTTTATAAATTAAACACTTGTCTTGGGCTACGTATAAAATGAGCACTATTTAGCTTAAAGATATATTATGCTCAAATTTGATATTTGAAAAAAACTGATAATAACTATACAGTCTCTTAAACATTTTTTTTAATACATACGGAGAAAATATGTTACATTTTAGCAGGTAATCACAGTATAATATTATATAGTGTCATTAAAAAAACTGACAGTTTAATAGACCAAATTAACTTGACAAGTAATAGGGAATGCAGCTTCCCAAACATAGCTTATAGTTTACATTCACTTATTCAAATTTACTAGATTTCAATAAATTTCTGCAATAAAAGTATTTTTTCAAAAGATGAGCAAAGTCGATCTATATCTTTAAGGTGTCGGATCTCAATTGTATTGATTTAAGTCAGAAATAAAACAGTATATCTAACTACATCGTCGGATTAACATGTAACATAAAATGTTAATGGTTCGGCCGTGGGTATCCGACGATGCAGTAAATATTATGTAACGAATTGTAATATGTTTCTAGATGAACGCTGGGCAATCAGAAGCCCTCCACCCAGTTATGACGAAACCAGTGACGTCGAGATGGTAAAGGACACTGACAAACGAACAATCTACGTTGGTCAACCACAGAACATGTTCTACAATGGTGCTCGATTTGATGGTGTATCCAGAATGAAAATACATGTACGTCTCGTTTTCCCATATATTTTAATATTTTATATTATACTTCGTCGATGACATATCGGAAAATGTTCAAAATTTAACATCAGAGCCAAATATGTAAAAGTAACACATACATGACGTTCGGTGTTTAAAATTTTTAGACATTTTAAAGTGTATTTATTTACAAGTACATTTATTCATGTATAAAGAAATGAAGTCAGCCATGTAAGTCCTTAAATTAAGTCATTAAAAATCATAATCCTTGTAAACGCATATGAACAAAAAATATTGAATTGCATTGATTTCGGTAAAGCTTTAAATATTTTTTTTATTATCCTTATATTGATTTATCCATACCATTCACACGATTTTCTGTTTGTATACCAATCAAAAGTATATTTTGAACTCACATGAATGAAATCATTGTACTTAATTTTAGTTCATTATACAAGTATATTCTTTTTTTCTCAGCCCCCTCCACCGGGATGTGAACCGAATGAATACCAATCAATGTTGATGAAAAAAGATGGGGAAATATGGTTTAAGCCAGCACCGCAGCGACAGAATGGAACCAGCAAATCTAAAAATAAAGTTACTCCTAATTCAACTGTTGTGGCAAATATTGACATGGCGTAAGACTAACATTGTCAAATTGCGCGTATCCAACCAAAGAAAACTTGAAATTACATGTATTTTATCAGTACTGTGAAACAGTATTGTACGCGTTTGTCTAAACGACAGATTGTGTGTATTCGAATCAATATTTAACATAAGTCATCAAATGAATGTGTCTGTCCTAAAATGTGCATCTGTCCTAAACATTGTGACAAATTGTGCATACGTCCTAAACGTTGCGACAAATTGTGCGTATCCGTCCTAAACATTGTGACAAATTGTGTGTATCTGTCCTAAACATTGTGACAAATTGTGTGTATCCGTCCTAAACATTGTGACAAATTGTGTATCCGTCCTAAACATTGTGACAAATTGTATGTATCCGTCCTAAGCATTCAATAAAGTGTGTGTATCCGTCCTAACCTTTGTGACAAATTGCATGTATCAATCCGAAGCATTGACAAATTGTGTATCCGTCTAATGTATTGTGACAAATTGCATGTATCCATCCTAAAGATTGTGACAAATTGTGCATACGTCTTAAGCATTGTGGCAAATTGTGTATACATCCTAAGCATTGTGACAAATTGCATAATTCCGTCCAAAACAGTGTGACATCCGTCCTAAGTATGGTTGCAAGTTGTATATTCGTCCAAAGCGGTGAAATCTTGTGTATCAAAAATAAGAATAGTGACAAATAGTGTCATTATCTTAAATATAGTGATAAATTGTGCATCATTAACATGATCATAAATTTTCATGTGGTCTTCATAAGCACGTGACAAATTGTCTATTTGTCCTTAGCTAAGTGGCAAAGCATGTGTCCTTGCAGAGCAGGTGTCCATCATAAACAGAACAGAAAAATTGTGGCAAATTATGTGTAGTCAAACCAACTACATTTTTTTTGTATTGTATTATCAAATTGCTTGTATTCGCATTGTCATTCAAAATATGAAAAAATAACATACATTTTTTTAAATAATATTTTATTGTCATAAACGATGTTCATAAACAATTGTATTTAGAAATAGCAAAGCACATATTAATTCCATGTATGGAACCATATCTTAAAATCAATTGAAAATAAATGTTGTTAACAAGTGATAATATCTGTACACATTACATAAAATGATTTGTTGACCACACATACATTGTCATTCCACCCACATACATTGTCATTCCATCCACACATTATGTACAAAAAACATTATCTTGTTTAATTTTATATATAACTACTGGTGCAATTTATCAGTGTTTTATCACATGTACTCGTCTATTTATCTTTTATTCCATTTCACTATAACATAATTACTATGCTAGGTATTGCTATCTACATGGAATAAGGATGGAATTATTACCATCCCTAATTTGTAAAACGTTTATAAATTTTCTCAGATATAATAAGATTAAATGTAAATCTGGTTTAAATGGTAGTCAAGATTTCACTGAGAATAGTTATTCTAAATACAGTCACTTTAACACAACCTGAAAGACTATTTACATGTAAAATTACTTGAAATTTTGATGTTAATGAACAACAATGTTGTCGTTTGCTTTTTTGGCCTAAAGGATTCATTTACCAAATTTTAAAACTAAATCATTGTCAAAGTTTTTTTGTGAATCACCTATTATTTCACATATTTCTATAACAAAATAAGTGCACCATTCAATTATAAACTGACCAGGTCTTATTGAATAAATCCAATTTAAAATCTATTTTTCTATTATACAGGTTTTCACTACCTTAATGTCTACCTTTGAGTATATGAAATTTCTGTGAACAAAAATATAAAGAGAGTTTTAGAAGAAAAAATAATTTTGCACCAGCAATATCCAGCAGCCTGGATCTTTCCGAAGTTATTTCAAATCATGCTGTTCCTATTCAGGTTTTAAATTTTTTATAAGGTTTTGGTAATTCCGCGAAACACATGGAAAACCTGATTCAACTGCCGCAAAATGGGACAGGCTTTTTCTGGAAATTTTCCATTGCTTCGCAACCTCTATTTTTTGTTGTATTGTCGGTGAAACCGGTCAAAAATCCTCTTATACTTACAAAACATGGAAACAGTGTAAAACTCAAAAAGAATCTATTTGAAATCTCAGTTTTTAGCACTTTTCATATTATCAAATATTATGACTTATAATAACATTATAATTATTATAATCATTATTAATCATTTCTCTCCAAATTCTTCCTATTTGATAACAAAAATCTTGAATAAAATCTAGTCGGGATATTGCATGTTTTACTTGTATATTTTCTATGATTTTTTCCCTGTAAAACTGTTGTACATTTTATATTTTCTTTCCCACCTAATAATATCAATATTCAGTAGTAATAAATGATTATAAAAGTATCTTTGTTTTCACTACAGTCAAATACATAATGTTCAAACAATATTTATCAGTAGCACTTATTAAGTAAAAAAATGCCAATTAATAATCCTCAGTACTGTTACAAATAACATTCTTAATTATAATATACCTAAGTTCATAAAAATCTCCAACACCAAAATAAAACCATTTCAGTATTATAATATTACATGTTTTATTTTAACAGTCTGATTATCAGACAATTATTTACAATTCTTATGTCTGTTTAATTTTTGATTCAGACAGAAATAAACTGCATCCCTTTAAAGAACTTGAACTCATAAAGCTATAGGAAATGTAAACCTATTTATGGTTGGTACTAGTATTACATCATCCAATCAATATTCAAAGTAATCCTTGACAAGAATCTGGATTATTATAACTGAATGAATGAAGTGGGAATCCTAGTGGTAAAGGTGTCATTTCTTCATATGACACCAGTAGGCAGTACTGGTTGGTTCCAGGAAGTGGACATGAAAGTGATTAACATAAATTGCAAGAACTTGTTATGCAATCGCGTTGAAATAAATATTTTTTAACCAATTTGCATGGAAGATTTGTATTACTATACATATACAATGACTAATTATTCTTTTATCGGTCAACAAATAATAAAATCATTAGCATGACTATCTATAAGATATGTATGTTACATAATTTTCTTTTTGAACTGGAAATGATTACAAATGTAGGAAATCAAAATATGACTTACTAAAAAAAATTTAACATAATTAACCATTACAATGTTGAAACTGAACTTTTTTATTTCAATATTTTTATCAGTATATAGAATGGCTGGGCTACATCATATATTCATACAGTCCAACCAGCATGTATACCGTTAGCTGATTAACTACATTGTATTATATTTCATAACGATAGCCCTAACACTAACTACAATGTATAATGTTAAAAAATTTTTATAACGATAGACCCAACATGGCCTAATCGCGTTTCAAAATGGAAAGTGAATACTGTACATTTAGGTAATTTAGCATGTTGATTTTAAGTCAGATAATAAAATGATGATAAAACAAAGGTTACCTTATGCTATTTACAAAATACATTTGAGATAAACATTATTATCAGACAAATTAGATTTTACTTTACTCTAGGCCCTAATTTATAACAAATGCACAAATCTGTTCTTAAATCTGCAATATCGTTACACCTACAACAAATAATATCATTTTTCCAATTGGTTTCATCAGAGATTATCTTGTCAATGTATAAAACAAATCTATTTTCATCGAACATACTGTCACATATCCATGTACACATAACTTCTATTTATATCTATGATGCAATCAACAAAATAAAAACTCATATCCGTATATCAGTGTAATCAGATTTATCTAGTTAAGTGTTTACATCAACTTAATATGTTCAACATACAATTTCCTACAATAATGCCCTTTACATACACAGATCACTTTTGTAACCAAAGGGAGGTAACCAAAGTATCAGTGTGAAATAAAATTACACATAATACATTTAAACATTACATTAGTATATTTGTTCATTTATACCAACACACACATACATACTTAAACATCTCTGTTATAAAACAGTCAGTGTCAGTGTAACCAGTCTTCAAATATTGAACTCAAATCTATATATATAATGGTAAGTAAAGGCATTTAGTTACAAAATTAATAAATAAATCAATTTTTGAAGACCGTATTTCGTCTAACATTGTCAGTTTAAAACAAAGAAAGTAAACATCTTTATAAGGTTCAATACTGAACTTTTTAGTTTCTGCTTGGACAAAAAAAAATAAGTAAAAAAATTGTGTTCTCCACATGTTAGAATTGAAGACAAAAATACCTCTATATCAGAAGTGGATTTTATTTAGATTTGAGGTCCGAGTCTGTCACGAGGCAGTTACTGAGGCAACGTTTACTGCTGTAATGACACACTGTTTCTGCATTACAAAAGAAATTGTTTTATCACTTTCAATGACATAATGTGTACAAAATACTACAATAAATCTATAATTTCAATTTCTGTAACTAGAAAGATCATCCAATTATTATTTACATTCTCCCAACATTTTATATTGATTGAATCAATATAAACATGGCATTGGTGTTAAATATAGATATTTATATTACAAACATGTTAATTATGTTACACACATTTATGACTAATAATACCCTTTAACTTGGGACAAATTCTTCTAAAAACAATATTCATTTACAGAAAGTAAGGATAACAAATTTTCATACCAATTCAATTCTTAATTTCTTTTTTTTCCTTATTAACTAAATTAAAATATTTGTCTAAATATTACACTAAAATTAATGTTTTTCAATTGTATCATTATCATTAACCTACTGAAATGGAAATTGATAAAGCCTTTGCCACCAGAATAGAACCAGGCCAGCCTGCATATCTGTGTAATTTAACCAGGCCTTTTACTGTTGGTTAAGTATACAGCTGGCTGTCTAACTTTAAATTTTTCACATTGATAACCATAAAATTGATAATAAATATTTCCAAACAAGTCCTAATAAGAAATTCAGCAGGTGTAGTGTTATCCTTGACCCTTTTACCATCTAGTGATGAGTAAATAAATTAAAACAAAAATCTAACTTACATTTTAATGTAATGTAAACAGTATTAAGAGTTATTATATGTTATGTATAATTACTTGCAATCTATGCAGTACTCTGCATGTTTTATGTACAAATAGTATATAAATGTATTTCCATTGATCACCATTTTATCTACCCTGTTTTCTGAGTAACTGCTCTTTACATACTTTAGTAGGTATGTAATTAATACCTTTTGGGAAGTTTTGGCGTCTTAGGCTGTTTAATCACTGATTCACGAGAAAACTTTTCACTATAAAATAACATAAATCTGGAGGCATGCTCTTTAAACAAAGCTTTTTTGAGATTTCTATTTAAAAGTTCATTAACTTTCAAAATATACTGTACATCTAAGACTTATCACATACATGTAAAAAATAAGACCAGTAATATTATGGTTAAACCAGAAAAAAATTGCCGTGTGTAACTTACTATGAAAATGTTGAACATACAATAGGCTTTCCTTGAAAACAATAATTTAAGATATTTTAAAATGGTTTACAGAATACACATCCATAAACAAAATCGGATTGTCTTATTACATTAAACCATTGTTTCTCAAGTTTTAATCCAATAGGTAACAACCTTTACGTTTTTATTTCAAACTAAAAAATAATACAACATTTATTAACATTAATATAATGTATTCTTTTATCAATTTCCTTTTATCTTCTTACTCTAATTTCTATTAATCTGTAAGCATGAACACAATGTTGATAAACTCATTTTATTTATATGAGGTCATTAAGTGTTTAAGTTTGACTATTTTCATACCACTTTAAAGGCCTTAAATTAATTATAAAATATGGTTTGCTTCTCGCTTCGAACCATGCTTTTCATACAACCAGATCTTTACAATAGCACAAATTTTCTAAAATTGGATGAGGTATAACTGACTTTTGTGTAATCTACTTTTAACTAATTTTCTCAAATTAAATGGATTTTATAATTTATCTATTAGTTAAAAAACTTAAGTAACTATAATAATTACTAAATAATATATTTTTCTGTAGTATCACACTCAATGCTGGATTTAATTCTTTTCTTTTTACATTACTAAAAATGATTAAGCTCCATCACAAAATATAATGTACTCATGTTTGGTTACATACAAAGTTGAAAAATTAACTAAGAATTTCAAATACAAAGCAGCTGAATTAGATGATAGGTTAGTCTATAACAATCTATTCTTCTTTCTAGTAGGAGAGTCCATATTAACATCGGGAGTCGCCGCTCTTTTTCTAGAATCACAGTTTCGTGAAAATTCATCTAAAATGAAAGAGTTCAGTTCCTCAACGTTGGTTTTTGGCAGGCCAGACAAACTATTAGAATTTGAATTGTTGTGTGGCCTGAATCCCACACTAATATTTGACATAGCTCCATCTAAACCTGAAAAATAGAACAATATAAAACTGTTAAACAGTATTTGTCATGGACTAAAAACTATCAATTCGCACCAATTTTATCTTCTGAATCCATGGAACTATTATCTTATAAAATAATATTACTATTTACTAACACTATTCTTAGCTCACTCAGACATCAATTCCTGCTCCACTGAGAATAAATATGCATGTGTCTCAATAAACCTTAGGTCCATTCATGTCATGTAAAGTTTGGTAAAAAACTTTCCAGTTATTTGGGCAACTTTTGGAGAGTCATTACCTACTACAGATATCAGTGAACTGAATGATTTAAGCTAACCTTGGAGCATTTAGGTGTTCACAGGAGCTAAAAATATCTTCTAAAATGAAATTTATGATAAGCCTGTGGTTAAATTGACTAAAATAAACATCTAAAATTCTTAGGCCAATACAGTTTGGTACCTTTATGGTAAAAACTTCAGTCTTGGTGAAGGACCTTAACAAATATAACCCCCGAAGACATGCATGTAGTTAATACAAGTAAATTATTACTAAATACTGTACTTGTTGTGAGGAAATAAGAACTTGCAAATAAGCTTATTTGCAGTAATAAACTTTCTAAACAAAAGAGAACTCATACTATGGTTAACACCCTTGTTGGTGACCAGTAATACTACAAACCCAATACATACATGTATATAGGATACAGAATATAAATTCAACAGGTAATGAGAAAGGAAGTGATTTGTGAAAGTTGAATTAAATGTTAGTTGTTACACCGCCATTGATGCCATGGCAAAATGAAAAGCTTCATTATTCTTGAGCTAAAAACATGTCAAATTGATCAATGACATATTATGGCAAAATACAGTTAAAAACATCATTTCTTATTTCTTCCTATATAATAAATAACTCACAACACACACACTATTTACTGATCATATCTAAAAATATTACACACCTTGCAAGGCAATTGCCTCTCGGAAGCATTGCAAATCCGCCTCCGTACTCCTAGGTAAACTATCCCCTGAAGGGAACCTTGGAAATGAACGATCCATTCTTGCTGATGCACTATGACGCACAACACTACCAGACATTTTAGTTCTTTGTGGTGGATTTTTACCACTAAGGAAAGCTAACAAATCTTCACGTCTAATATGTCTTCTTCGTTTTTTCACCCAGGACACAATGTCTTTCAGTTGTCTTTGCCGACCTCTTTGAACACCAGATTCCATGCAATGTTTGGCTGTATCAACACTATCTGTTAAACAAAACTTTAAGCATTACAACAAGCTTGATCTAATCAATTATAAATATCTACCTTTTAAGTTTGGCTTTAAATTCACAAAGAACAAACAGTCACATTTTGCAACTTAAATAAGTTAAAAGGGTTAATGCTCCAGTGGAGACATACAGTAAGTAACTTTGGGTACCCCCTGTGCATAATATCAAGCATTGAAACTTCAAGTTTAAGCTAAATTATAGTGAACGACAACATTCTCAGTCATACATATACAAAGACAAATATGTATAAATAATTCGGGAATATACTAGTCATGCTATGTGTTAACAAATCTATAAAACCAGAATCTGACAAGAACATGACTAACACTGGCCATGTCAAAGTTATATATATTTTTTTTTATCAAGAACTGGCATTTATTTTTGGGAAAAAAATATCTGAATGTTTTATTGTTTACACAAATACATTAAACTATAATTTATCTTTTTTATATTTAACCTTAAAATCTAATGCATACAAGATTTTTATGGCAAGTTTCCAAAGACATGTAAAGTACTTTTTTAAAATGGTTTGCAATATTATATCAATAAAAATATTCAAACATGGTAACAATGTTTTGTCTTAATTTGTTTAAATAAATTATCATAAATTATCATAAAAGCACTTTTGGACTTTTAATATCTTCTACTCCACTAACCTTCAAAAGGCTGAATAACTAGACACTGCATATATGTTGATTAATCATACAATTAATAAAGTTAATTCATATAGCTTTAGAACTAAAGCACCAACTCATTTCATCTGAGTCGAACCACCAACCGTTCTGACATGAAAAACCTCAAATGTCTGATCAATGTGTTTTAAACCTACAGCAGACTGCAGACAGTGAGTGGCAAGAAATTCAAAGTCAACCACCTTTACCACTATGTCACAGTAGTCTTGTCATTTTAAATTTGAGATTTAAATATTTTATACTTGCTTACCTTTATATAGAGTTGTAACTGAAGACGCAGCATTTTGGAATGGAATCCATAATGAAAGCCCATTGGTACGATCTATCAAAATCAAATGAAAATAAATAAAGTGTACATAATATCATTATTCAGGGTTCGAATTTAAGCTGGCATACTGGCAAAATGCAAGTTAAAATCTAATAATGCCAGTAAAAATTACTCTAGCTGGCATTTATTTGCAAGTGACTGTTCATTTTGGATGTTTACATAATTGTTATCTTCTGAGCTGATGATGATGATTGGCAACTGCCTGCTGCAGTAACTGATGATGTTTACCTTAAAAACTTAAAAATAAATTTTAAGTTGCTCTACCGGTATTTATTTTTTCTGTAACGATATTTTGATGGATTATTTATAATAGCGAAACACTATTAGTTACAACATCCAAGATGTTTTATCAGGGTCCAAAATATCATATGTAAGATGGTATAAATCATATGTAAGATGGTCTGACTTATGGTAGGTTTAAATGGAAAAGAGTCAACTCGGCCCTATACCAACTCGGCACGGTCAACTCGGCCCACTTTAAAAAAATATATTTAACGTAGTAATATTAAAAAAAATATCAAACAAAAACATGTTTACTTAATATCATAATTAAGCTTCTAATTAATTGCAGGTGGTCACTAATCAAGTTTAAATGAATGCGTCAATCATAATTATCACCTAATTAATCGGTATCCTTACGAACACACTGATTGATAATAATAGCCTGTGACAATAAGAGTCCCTTTAATGTCTTTAACCAATTTCATTTAATTTGTTTGTAATTGTCAAAAGCTGAAAATTAAGTCCGTGTATTATACATAATTACAAATATTACAAAAAATAGTGATTACACAAACCTAAATATAAATAATTGAAAAGTGGGCCGAGTTGACCCGTGCCGAGTTGGTATAGGGCCGAGCTGACTCGGGGGCCGAGTACGTTTTAGGGCCGAGCTGACCCGGAATCGTTTAAATTTAAATACCTTAAATGTCAAACAATGTGTTGAAATATATTTTGAGATGAAACTAAGATCACAAGCCTTTTCATGTTTTAGCATAACACATTGATTTTACTAGATTGTAATGGAAACAGCCATATTTTTTCACTCGCTATACCTCGCTTATTTATGTAGTTCATATAGAAAGTGTTGAGGTGTTTTTCGTTTGTCTAATTAATAAATTAATGTTCTTCAGATTACCTTCGAGCTAAACATCACTACATGACTTGCATACAACTATATACAGTCTATGCGAAAGTCAATTTTTTTTTCAGGCCACAAGGACCGAGACCCTTAGGTTTATTTCCGGCCCGGATGATAGTTTTCCGGCCCAGACATTTCAAGCATTATTTTATAATAACTCGGTTGAATGTAAAAATGATTGTCTTTCTTTAAATTAGTGAGACTATCAATATAGAAACATAAGAAGATGCTGACCAATTGAAATAACTTAAGCAGGATTCTCACTAGGTTTTTAAAAAGAGGAGTCCTTGGACTCCCAAGCACAGAAAAAGCTTTTTATTCAGGAAAATGGTAGTATGTCCCAAATGGAATACATTGAACCATAAAAGTGATTGAAAAGATTTGAAATATAATTTCAAAAACCCTACATCATCAGACCATTATGCTGTTTTCTTCCAGATTCACTCCACACACCCCCCTCCCATCAGAAAATATTCATTGTATGTGACAAACACATATACTGGTAAATACCTCCATCTCAACTAATGTGAACAATATATTTAGTAATTTTAATTCTTAAACTACATTTAAGTGTTATTACACACAATTTTAACAAAACAAAGTTTCCTTTTAGTTACGATTTTTTAATGATAAAAAGCGGCATCGCGAAAATATGTGACAATTGAAAATTTGTCTGTTTCCTGCAGAAACATTCACAATTCTACTTGTTGTTGATTTTGATTATATAAGATTAAATATTTTTTGATTATTTTAAGATTGTTACTCATCGGCTATTTCAATTGGCATCATAAAACAAAATTTTCAAATCTGTAATTTACGGCAAAATTTACCGTTGTTGATGAAACTTTTTGACGACAGAGCTGACTGGTATTTATTTGACAGGTACAAAATAGATCTAAGGTTGGTCAATATCTTCTTTAATAAATTCTTTGCATCACCGGGTACTTTTTATCAATCATGTCATTGATATTTTTGAATTTTTAAAAATTTTATTCGGACATGAGGACTGACGGAAAGGAATTTTTCTCGGACCGCATGATTTTTATTCAGCCAGGACCGAGGACCGACGGACTTTCGCACAGACTGCTATATATAATTTTAATGTCCTCATGGCCTTTATTAGGTACTTTGGCTAGTCAATTTAGTCAATGACACTTCTAAATTTATAAAAATTATTAAATATATATGGATAATTTGATAATTACTGTAAATAATTAATATGTTGCATCAAACAAGTCTATACTGGTTGGAGACCACCAAAACCGGACAACCATCAAACCCGGACGGCCCAGAAAATGCTTAATTTAGTATTTTCTTTGTTCAGTGGATGTCAGTCACTTTTTTACCAACAATAAATGCATGTTTCTTCTATAATTAAGTAAATAAATTTATTCAACCTCCGTAACTGGTAATATTTTAATGTCTATTTCAAGAATGTTGACGTTGAAATTTGGGGGCCAGGAAAGCAATGCCTGACCTCATATACCAGCTATAATCATTTGCAGAGTAAACAATAGAATATCCAAAACTTCAGCATTTGTTGCTGACATATTGTATATCATGTTAAAAATCAAAAATCAAAACACCCAAGCTTTTATCTGAATTAAATCACGTCATGTACATATCTGTCCGGACACATGGTACTGTAGTGTAGACAATTTAGGTATTTTTGATACCCTCCTTGTCGGGCCTCAGATATAAGTGTCAATACATTCAGAAATAAACAAACTAGTTTGTAAGTTAGGGGAAGAACCTAGCTGAACTGTGTCAAATTTTTAGGTCTCTATGTTAAAAATTATGAAATCTTAGTCCTATAAATATGACGTCGCTTTGAGATATTTTTGCTTCTGGGCAAAGCAACGTCATATCGAAATTGCTCAAAAACCCATAGCATGTTCCGCCAGAAAATCGGGTGGAACGAAAAACAATGAAGACAGCGTGTATTTACATAATTTTTGACCTATTTATGAACAAAACTAAAAAATAAATACCTTTTGTCAAAATAATTAAACTGTCACATCCGAAAAATCATGATTAATTCCTCTCATGTATTTTAATTCCTTTTACAGCCGATAAACAAATGGCGGCCGTAAAAAGCGCCAAATCTGATTGGCTTATTCAAATGCAAGCGTTTAACTGAGTCAGAACAATCTAACGGAATATTGTTTTAACAAAATAATTGCCCATGCACCGCCAGTGTGTTCGAATATATTTTTCCGTTCAAAAAATTTGGAATCAATCTGTAAAGCACCTTGCTTAACCAGTATGGCTGATAGACAAAAATAGATTGATGTTTATATTTTATTTTAAATTGATAAGTACATCGTTTGAAAGTTTTTGTGTATGATTGAGCATGAAATTGAAAGAAAATATGATAAGCTTTTGAATAAAGCTTGAAAGGCAAGACAATAGACATTTTTTGATTTTTTTATGATGCTATGCGTTTTTGAGCAATAACTATTAGACGTCAGGCTTGACCGACAAAAACTATAACAAGCCTGTAACGTCTAATATATTGGACTAATGAAATCTGTACGGAAAAATGTTCAAAAAGTGTCCGGTTGATGGTTCCCGACCAGTACCCTTCTCTTTAAGAAATGATCCATTTCAAACATTACCTTTATATAATTGAGCAATTGCTGTTGCAGAATTTTGAAACTGTAGAAATAATTTCTGCATTGCAAAGTCTGTATCTCTCTGAACGTTGTCCTCCATATTTGTTTCCGAACTTTCCAAATCCTCTAAACATTCTTCTTCAAAAGCACTCAACCAACCGTCGGCCATATGGTCATTTTGCTGGCCCTCTTGGTGGGCCATGATTTAAGTTTGACTTTTCCAGAAACTATTTTTGAGAATAACCTTAATTTATCAGTATTTACGTCTTTTTACAAAGGATGTGAAAAATTATTTTTCTTTTTCTCGTCTCAACGGAAATTATATTTGCGCATGCGCAATTGAGCAATCGGACATCCGAGATAGTAATAAGTTATGAAAACCACTAACTTAGGGTTGGTAACTACTAGTTTTGGTTTTCAACCGCTAAATTTATACCAGATATTTTATTACCATAAACCAGTTATTGAAAAAGTCAAGGCCCATAAGAGAGTCTGACAAATAACACATATTCACAAATTTGCATGACATAAAAATGTAAGAATTTTGAATTGCAACGGAACTTAAAAGTTATTTGAAACATGTATTTTTTTATCTTACTATTCAGAAGATTGCCAAATTCAATGAATTTATACACGTACTATTTTGCATGTCACTATTTATAAGTATAGAATATTTAATAGCATGAGGATTTTGAAAACATAACAAGTTTTATGTATAATTGTTATATTATGTTATCTTCCCTTGTCTAAATGCATGGTATGATTCATACACATGAATTCATATGAAAATCAGTTTGAAATATTTCTTAAAAAGATTTTTGTACAATTATTATTGACAAAGTTATGCCCTTTTGAACAACGTCATTAATATATTATATGACAGAATACAATTTAGAGAACTCTGTTTCAAATTTAAGATATATTTAAGATTCTGTTTCAAATTTAAGATATATTTAAGATTTTCAGTTGAAAAGAATATGTTGGAATATAATGAGAATCGGCACATTTTTTTACTATAAGTAAATTTTATAAAGCACAATACTTAGGCAGATTCCAGTCATGCTTGAATCTAGTCCTTTGTCAACAGTGCATACTCTGCATTTTCAATTCACCAAACTTCCGTAACCTGGGCAACTATAAATGTTATCGTTTTACTCTTTGACCTGGAATTCTAGTTCCCCTTTTTACATAAAAACTGTGGCCCATTGAACGAAATTGTGAAGCTGTCAGTGTATACTTTATTTTTTAAAAAGTAACTGTGCACCATAATCACATCCGGCGGCATTGTTTATTGGTATTTGTTCGCGATATAACATCATTTCTTTTATCAGGATCATTTAGTCTTCCAGATTCCCCCCCCCCGTTAAATGGAAATAAGCTTGATATCTTGGTAATGTACAAACATGAATAGTGTTATTAATTAAAAAATAAGAAAGTAAACAAAACCTATGGAACGGGGAAAATGTTCTTACATCTAGAACTAGAAAGAAAGTTATATATAATATTTTATGACTTTCTGTCTGAGATTTTAAAGATAGTAGCGCACATGCAGCAAATAAATTACACTGAACAATTCTTTGATGGTGATACATATATTTTAAATTGTTCTTTTTGAAATACAGTAGGAATTCTGAGTCGAACTTCGATTAGTCGATTTTCTCGATGTGTCGAAGTAAAATGAATGGCCCAATTTTCTATATATTCCATATAAAAGTCTATAAAAATTATATGAGTCGAAATTTTATGTGTCGAAGTTTTTTCGATGTGTCGAAGTTTTTTCGTGGTCCGTATAGAATAAATCGAGTACAATTCACCACAAATAAGTCGAAGTCCTTGTATGCCCTTTAGGACACGCATGCACATGTAGTCTATAGCCGTGTAAGTCAAAGCCCTGGCACGTTTTGCAGGAAAGGTTATTGATTTCCCCGTATTTTCAACGGCTATTAATAATTGTCGATAATTGTGCTGCATAAACTCTCACGAGTTATTTACAATCTCCGTCATGTCATGTAGCCCTACAAATGTTGCATCTGTGCAGAAAGTCTGTATAGAAATTTAAGAATAATCAAGACTTGATGAAATTCTAATGATAAAAATGAATGTATGGAAATAGATACATTTATATTGTCTTAATAGTTTTTTTAGGTACATTTGTATATCATTTATGATTGTTGGAGATCTTAGTCAGTGTCGATAGTAAGGGTAGGAAGAAAGGGATACCAGCTCCAATTATTAGTGAATTGAATTATAAATAAGCCGTTTATTTCAATCAAAATGTGCGATCAGTGAAGAAAATCAAAAATTTCTGTAGAGAAAGAAAAATTGTTTTTTAAAAGGAGAATAAACAGCTCACTGATTAAACAACAAAATGCTTTACAAAGTTATGTACAATGTAATGTTTTGAATTATAATTCTAGGTTATTTAAAATAGTGAGTTTTTCCCCCACAATTTGATCTGCTGAATTCTATTTTTCTATATTACACAATAGTTGCAAGAAACCTTATTGGTGTCTTTTTTGTCAGCTTCAAACAGACTTATATTCATTTTCTTGTTCTCTTCCGCACTTCGTATATCTTGCAGAAAATGAAATTTCTACGAAGCAGCTTATATTTGAGTGTTTAGAAATATTTTAAAAAAAAAATTGTTACTTCTCTTTGCATATCATTAACTTTGGCCTTCAGCTTTTATTTTTTGTTGTTTCAAATTAAGTATTTCAGTAGTTTTATCTTGGAAAAGTGCATCATGTCCTTGTTAGGCTATCTTCAAAACGATTTCCTGAGAGCTATTTATAACGCATCGGTGACATTTGTTTCTAAAAATAGAAGATAGTCACTTTACTAATTTACATATAAGAGACCGTACCTGTAGATTAGAGATATCGAGGTGTTTCCTTATTGTTTATATATTTTATCGGTGGCAAATTTCAATTTCCTACTTAATTCCTTGATTTGACAATTATATGAAACGATTTATCTTTAAAAAAAACATATTTTAACTTTTAGAAAAGCTAAATATTTCTCTTTAATGGCATTAATGTCCTGTATTTATTTTACATTTCTATCATGCTCAACTTTTTTAGTGCTCCATTGACAAACATTTGCCACATGAACAGTCTCTGTATCATGTCTATAGAAATTCAAAACATTGCTTTAAATTTATATTCTTCTATATTTTTATATTCTTCTTTGTTTTATGAACAAATTCACATTTTTTCTGCAAAGTTTTATAAACAAATTCTTTTATTTCTGCAAAGAATACAACCTACTACATACATTTCTTATTCCAGATATTTGATTTTAATAAAGATCTTGTGTACGGTGGCATTTAACTTGGCTTTAATGACCTTTGGTCTTATAAATAATCTGTTGGTTGTTTTTTTTTTTGCCATATCTTTCATAAGTTATTAGCATAATTATCTATTTACTTGTGTTTTTAGAACACGCTCATGTGAATCTTTATATAATTATTAAGTTCAACATTGCTGCAACTTGATAATGTAAATGTGCAATTTGCCTGAAGAAAAAGATGCATATCTTTCACTTTTTCAGTATTTTTAAAACTTTATGCAAACTTGTGTTTCAAGCGTTGTTCATTTTTCAAGCTTATTCTATTGTTTGAGCTCATAGATTTGGGTTCACAGTAAAGATCACTTTCAACACATAGTTCAAGCTTATTAATAGTTCATACTCAGTTGACAGTTCAAACTCATAAATTTCATAGTTAAAGCTCATTACAAAATTCAAGGTCATTACATATATAGTTCAAAGTCATTACATATCTCAGATTCATTTTCTTATTTAAGCTCATAGTTCGGTTCATATCTTAATACAAGCTCTTTTTTTAGTCCAGACCCTATAGTTCAGGCTCTCACAGCTAAAGCTCATAACATGATACAGTCTCATCTTTATAGTTTAGACTCATATGTCATGCTCATTACATATTTAAAGCTCACTTTTTAGGTCAGATCAAACATATTTCACAACTCAAGCTCATTTTATAGTTCCAACTTGATTCATAGCTCATTTCATTATAAGTCAAACTCACTTCATTGATCAATTTATTTCACAATTCAGGCTCATTTCATATTTAGTTCTTATCAGGCAGTTGATGCATTTCGTAAATCAAGCTCATTACATATTACAAGCACATTTCTAAGTTCACTAAGTTCAATGGTTCTAGCTCATTGCACTTTTCAATAAAATCATAGCATGATTGAATCTCATTTCATAGTTTTGAATCATTGCGCAATATCATTACACATGCAGTTACTGAAGTTCAAGGGTTTAAGTTCAAGGTCATTTTATAGTGAAAAACCATGCTTGTTTTCTATTGTTTTGTGAACAGTGAATCATGATGTATTTATACTGTGTCTATTTTGTAGTAATGTCAGATTGAAAATAAACAGAGGTAATTATATGTGTCAAGTTCATTTTTTTATAATCCACCAATTTCTGGCATTTTGTTATGCAGAAATATTCAATGGACTTGTTTATTATTTAAAGTCCGTCTAGCTTATGTCAGAATGGGCTTTAATACAGCAGGAACTTGTATGCTAACCTTTTTTCTTATTCAGAAACAAGAGAGATATGACGGCCCTACATTACTCATCTGAGACACATTGCCAGAAAAGGACACCATGTTCCAATATATAAATAAATCATTTGGTCACATTTAGGGGCATTGCCATTTTACCTAAGAGAGATGTTTTATGTAATTTAGAAGAGAATTTGCCTGTAATATTAACATATTTCAATGAATGCGTTACTGTTTGGACATTTGGTATTTTATATACCGGTAAAATACATATTCTTCATATAAATAAAACCCAAAAGAAAACAAAAACCACATTTGTAAAACGATTAACTTTATATTTAACAAAAATAAAATAAATCATATACTTATCACACAAAATAGATTTACTTCTTTAACATTTTCCGAATGGATCATTTCATTTTCTGTCATTTTTAAATCCAAAACAAGCAAGAATAGAGCGAAATGCGCTGGTGAAAAATCCTTTCTTTGATTTCTTCTTGTCTGCCAACTCATTTCTTAAAGCATCTTGTGGTAACTTGTCATTGATTTGCCGACTGCTAGTAGCTTGTGACTTTGGGCAGATATCTGTAATGCCCATGTCTAGGTTACCATGTTTGGTAGATTTCACAGTTTGGTCATCTGACGTCTGCTGCTTTGCGGATTGGCACTGGATGTCGTCTGCTTCTCGATTGTTCCTGTTTAAAATCCAAAAATATTTAATGACATTTATAAATATGTAATATAAGTGTTTAGAAAATTTGCATCATAAATTATGAGATGCTAAATATTTAAGAATTAAAGAACAACATTGGTTAAATATTTTTCTTAAACAGAAAAGTGTTCATTTCAAAATTGGTTAATCATTTTTCTTAATCTTAAACAGAAAAGTCCTCATTTCAAATATACTCATGAAAAAAACAATGATGGTCAATATTTGACACTATGAGCTAGACAAAGAAAAATGTATATCTTTGCAAGAATTCGATACCTTTTTAACTTGGGTTGGCAGTTTAATAAAACATCTTCTGACACCTTTGTATCATTCCATTGAGAAGCGGGTACTTTGGAAGTTTTTCTGTCATTTCTGTTTGTATGTTGACTGTAGTCATAATTATCGTCAAGATACATCTTCAACTCTGAAAAAAAAGAGACGATTTAAAGCATAATGCAACGTTAGATTTAAAATTTACTCCGCACTTGATTATACTAAATGTGAAAATGCATTGGTCGCAAAGAAGTACCAGTTGCACAAATAACATATAAATCTATCTTGGAACATTTTCATTTTGTACAAGCTTTGAAATCAGGTTCGATAATAAAATATCATTACAATGCCATACTTGCAAAACACTTTTACAAGTTTGATATTAGTCACTACTAATCTTTTCAAACTAGCAGTTGTGAGAAGTTGTCTTAAGTGTCTAAATATTTTTGTAACTTCCCGAAAACCTGTACGTTTAATTAATTTACCATATGCAGACTGGTTTCTTATATCAGCTCTAGAGCTATTATGTCCGGTTGCGCGTCTTTTTCGCTGTCCAACTTGACCATGTTTTTGTGGCATCGGCCTCCTCTGACCTTGCGGTGGTAAAGCGCTCTTACTTCGCCTTTTCTTCTGTGTTGTCTTATCATTAGCTACTAAAATAAGGAAAAGGAAGAGTGTAAATATCCATTGACAAACTTTATGATGGAATAATGTTCCATTTGGAGTACCTCTTTGATGGGTGGGAACCGAAAAGTTGCTTTACAATTATTAAATAACCTTGTAATAGAAATTATTGCTGTAATGTTATCAAGTTTATAACATCAGCTGAAGTCTCCTTTTCTAACGTACAGTCATGTTCTCTTAATTAAGTATTCGATACGCAATCTAGACAGAGCCCCAACCTTATGTCAAAGGGTGACTTGACATTGTAGATGGGCCAAGTGATAGTCAAACATAAAATGTTATTTTCTGAGTTGCAAATAATACTTTCACTGATTCATGCATAATTCAAATAAACAATATTTAACAATTTAAAAAATATAAGAAATATTTCAAAACTTACCTTTTCTGCGATTTGCCGGTTTTCTTTGGGAATAGTGTCCTCTATATGTGCCAACTAAAGACTTTGCCCTTTTTGATGAACACATTTTGTCCATTCTTGAGTGAGCTTTGTAGTCGTTTCTTGTTAATCTGTTCATAATTCACTGTAACATGATTTTCATATTAAATAATTAAGTGTGCTCAAAACAAATCAGTTTTTTCCAGCATTTTCGATTATTTGAATTATCATGGTTGTTTAAATGAGAACGGAAATCATATCAATTTTCTTATATTGAGAATGGTTACGGCGTCTTTTTATAATGTGTGTCCAAGTCATACTGGGGTCATAACAATTTTTTGAGAGTGGATCGAATTAGCTGTGTTGAAGTTTTTATCACAAAAGAGCTAAATAAATCTTACAATTGAAACTCATTTAAGTTTTGTAACATTTTGAATCTCTTTACTGACCATAACATATCCGGTAAAACGTATTTATAAAGAAATTATAAATGATAATAAAAAACGTATGCACATACCGTTACGTGTTGATATCTTATGTTGCGGAACGTCGTTTCTATGACACGTTACGTCAGGAAATTTAATTATGATTACGTCAGTACAACGTTATTGACGTGATGAAAATATAATAGAATGCGTCTTACATGTATCTTTTTTTCCTAATTGCTGGACAATTTTCTCAATTTCACTTAACATTAGAACATATTATGCAGACGTTACCAATAAACATGGCGAAATATGAATCTAGAGTCTTAATCATATCAATTTCCTTACATTACTTCATAGAAATCTGTATGAAAATAATGTTGTAAAAATATTATTTTTAAAGTTTATCTAGCAAGATTTGATAAGAATGCACAATACGGTTTTTTTTCAATACAAGTAAAATACACTATTATTTTAACGCTTCTAGGTAAACGGAAAATTAAGATTCGCAATAGCACTGAGTGGAAAATCTTAACTCATTAACCTGCTGGAAACGAGAGTAGTTAGCCTTTGCCACCAGTAGAGAACCAGGTCAGTCTGCGCTTCCATAGAATACTGACTCCTGAAGAATCAAAGTACTGAAGTACAGTTGGGCTGGCTATTTGTCACCACGTTTTACACATGTCAATACAAAAAGTTAAAATGTCTTCACTAAACAATTGGTATATACAGTCGACATTGTATTAAGAGACCACTCAAGGGACTGCCAAAAAGTGGTCTCTTAATAAAGTGGTCTCTCAATAGAATTCTGGAAAATTCGAGACTTTATTATATTACAAGTCATAGATATAATAACATCTTTTTATAAAAACAAAAACTGTACAATATTATATAATCATTATGTATTACAGATTCATAATTACATTTATGCCTTTTGTTTAAAAAAGTCACAAGATGTGTTTGTTTTTTTTTAGTAGAAATATTATTAATATGGTCATACACATCTATACACATCTCCTGCTGAACATACTTTCAAATCATCAGCCAGACCTCTAGATAATTTTTCATGCAATGAGTTTTAAAGTTCTTGATTTTTTTCAGCAATTAGTTTTCACACTACCCCGATTTCAAAACATTAAAGTTTGAGAGATCTTAGATTATCATTATATATTTTTTTATTTTATTTATTTTTTTTGTCGAAGGGTCATATTTAATGGGGTACTACATGTATTTTATAAAGCATCAGATGAGCACCTAGATCTACACCGTCAGCAATGAAAGGCTGTAATGTTTATTTCACTACGTTTCACGATTTTATTTTTACTACAAACGATGGCATTTGCTATTTACTCAGACTCAATTCCATGCACGATTTCCTCATTCATTTTTTCCGGTATTATTATTTGTCTGTCATTTTTTCGCTCGTTCCGACGTCATTTTCAATGATTTTCTGGAAGGGAGGTCACTCTGAGCACATGACAAAACTGTGCCAATGCGGTGTTGTGATACGTTATTGCTCTGACAAAATATGTCACAATAAATATTACTATCGGAAAACTGTTTCTTTCTTTCCGATTTTGAAACGATTGCAATTGTTATTAATTTCGTTTTTAAACGACAATTATTTGTGACGGTCTAATTGACGACCGTTTAATAGATACTTTAAGACCAATGACCATGAAAAATATTTGTTTGTTCAAACCTACTCGCTAATTACACAGGTGAGAATGTCCGTAGGGACGATTGTTTGTCACGGCCGTTTAATAGATACTTTAACACTGAATTTTGTACATTTGGGCGGACATTTAGTGGCCGCTGGCCGCGATATAAAATCGTCGTTTAATGGAATTAACTTATATAGTAAAAATCATCGGGAGGGATTTTATGCGGCCGCTTAATAAAAAAGTCGCTCAATAAAGGTGGACGCAAGTACGATGCCGACTGTACATGTAAAACAGACAGCACAGAATGTGAAGTTAGCAACATTACGGTATTTTAAATGACTGATGTCGTAACTTCTTGATAATTTGTCAGTTTACACTGTGCATTCGTTGTATTTTCTGATCCCAGATCAGGAAATACAATGCTGACATTCAATCTCTGACACAGCGCTATACGACAAACCTAACAACAAGTAGTTCTCAAAACAGCTTAAAACTAGCGATATGAAAGAAAGAAATATTTTTATTTTGTTACAAGTATCCAACAAATTACAACGCATTCAAAGTTTAAAAGTAGCGTTGGCTTATAGAATTGTCAATAAATGCACAATCACAAATTACGCGGATGAATATCATTTTAATCAATGAAAATCGCTCGGCTATTTCCGTAAAGCTTCGGATTATTGTGATTTTAACTAAATAAACATTTGGTATTTAGACTTTCTGAAAAATAAAGTAAGGATGTTATGTTGACTCTAGGACAGGGACGAATTTAGGGCATTCGACGATCGATAATCAATTTCTACACCCGAATATTTAATCCACGTAAACAAAATGCTATTTTAGCGATGTCGATACCGAATACTTCAGAGCGTGTCACACAAATAAATCTGAATGTCGAGTATACATGTCGGGCTGTTTTGGCGAGAAGATTTTCGCTAAATTATGTCCATCAGTGTTAAGCAACATGTTTATCGTGAACAAATACCTCGAAATTAATAAGGATTACCAACCCTAAATGGGAATTGTAAATTTAGAATTATTTAATTTTATTCAGGCTTGCTTCGTATAACTTCCCCGTAGTGCAGGGGTAAGGCGCTCGTTTAGGGTGTGAGAGGTCTGGGTTCAACTTTTGTCAGTTGTCAAACTTTATCCAATATTTGAACATTATTAAAATAAATGTTTGATATTTCAAAAGAACTAAACAAATGTGGATTTAAGAAGTATAATGTGCAATTAAAAGATGGGTGAAATTCTATATGGTATGAAACTATAACGCATATTTTGAACTAGAAAACCAATAAATAGGTTATCTAAAACGGAAAATTTTCGGAAATACATATCAACAAGAAACCACATTTTTATAGTGTGCAATTTAATTCCTAATGGTACATACAAGTTGTAATAAAATACTTATTAAATTCCAATAACAATGTTGTTAAACACAATGTTAATAAAAATGTTTGTCTATGTAATTAAATTAATACATGTACATTTCATCATGGAAATGATAATTTGTTACATCTATAAATGATCGTTTACTTAAATTCTTAAAGATCCTGTAACACAATTTTCATGGTTTTAAATCATAAATATGATGCTCAAATTAAGATTTATCAATATTGTAGGTTCCAAAAAACATCATTTATAAATATATTACCGAATTTAACATTTCATGTAAATAAAGGGAGGTAACAAAAAATTATTGTCTATAAAGTTTAAGTCAAATTTTACAATAAGAAATGAATGCATATATCTTAATGTCATTCTGGAAACATTCAAATAATAATTATCAACACCTCCAACGTTTCGAGGGGATAAACACCTCCTTTTCAAGGAGTTAACAGGAACTTCTTGATAAAGAGGGGTTTATCCCCTCGAAACGCTGGAGGTTTAAACTTTGTGAATTTGATAATTATATTTTAATGATTACATATAATGTACACAAATATTTGCAGTAGAAATTTTAAATATTCTTCGATGTTTGAAAATTGTTTTATTTGCATAATTATGTATACATATATATAATTTCACTTAGTGTGGTTTACCACTTTGATCACAACATACAGGATCTTAATGAATAAATAAACCGGTAAACATGTTTGTTTTTGGGTTTTTCGTCGCACCAACACAGTATAGATCATATGGCGACTTTCCGGTTTTAATGATTGAGGAAGGCATCAGGTGCCCTTCCAAACATTCTTTCAGGAACGAACGGGTACCTGAACAGAACCATGAACGTTCCATAAGCTAACTGGATGGTTTTTACTGTTGTGTATTTACAAGCCTATCGACTACGAGAAATATTCATTGGAAATTGTTACTGTTTTGGTCACATTTATTTCCAGTTTACACAAATAAAGATATCTCACGAAAGCGCAAAAAGACGAAAATTAGAGACTCGGATTCGATTGAGTCTGTTTATAATAGGCGACGTGACTCTACCGCCTTTATAAACCCAAAACACCAGTAGTATTCATAGTTCAGTAATTGACGTATTACTTGAACTCATTTTCTAAAAGGAAAGCTATGAACTTTGCGTGCATTTGTTTTGCATGGACTGCATTGTCAGTTTTTGAAGCTTTCCGTAATACTTCATTGTTTTCTATGATTTCTCTTACACCAATCTGTGGCATCTTCATATCGTCCACCTTCATTAAAGTGTTTGTCAGAGCAACATATCTAGGATCGTTAATTGAAGTATCAAATTTTTCCCCAAACTTTCCAAAGAATCTTGGAGACTCAACCCATTTAGGAGTCACTGAATCGGTATTTGCTGAGGATTTTATAGGCCCAGATGGAAGAGACGCATAACGTACGGATTTCGTTGGACTAGATGACCTTGACTTTTCTGGTGATGCTGACTTACTATTGGAGCCGTTCACCGAGGGAAATCTGAATTCAGTCTTTATGTCGTCTACATCATACTTGTGAACTGTTGAACTGCTTGTATTCACATAAACACCACGATTTGGTAGTTTTGTTTTGTCAGACGGAATGTTAGCACACTTTGTCCTCCCGTTACTATTTTCGCCCCTTTTAACAGCACTTTTAATGGTACCTTTATAGTTTGTAGAGCTTTTCTGACTTGTAGCTTTATTTGATTGCCTCGTAGCATACTTATTAAGATTTAGAACTGTACTTTGTCTCGAAGTCCTCGAAGTTCTTGAATCTGAACGTCCAGCGTCATCACTGGAAACCTTTTTCTTATCTACTTTTGAACTTAATCTACTAGCCCGTGACCCTGGTCTAGAAATAGGATCCTCACCAACTGGACTTTCACAAGAACTTATTTCATCCATTTGTGGTACTCGAATTGTCAGCACCTTTTTCGGCCTTTCAGCATGCGTCTTCTCAATAACTTTTCTAGCGGATGCCATGAACTGTTTCATCATCTTATCTTTATTATTTTGCCTCTCTACAAATTTTTGTTTTTCATATTCATGGTTGGTAAGAAATTTGTACCTTTCTCTTCCAAGTTCCAGCTGCCTCGAGTACAACATTCTTTCCTCCGTTACATTTTCAGTCAGATTATTAACACCGCGAGCAGATTTACGAGGTAAGTTATCACTTTCCCCTTTATTAATCCAACTATTTATTTCTTTGATAGTTGTAGATTTATCCTTTTTCACAGAATTACGACGTCCAATGGACGGGGCGCTCTTAGATAAAGTTTTCCTCTCCATTCCTTTCTACTTCATATTTTAGTTGAATTCTAATTTCAATAAGTGATATTATATATGTTTTAGAATCAATTCACATTTGTCATTTTATAAAGGATATCAAAAATATATCACAACAAATAGAAGAATATCACCGTTGCTTTTTAAATTTTAAAACAATATCTACTCTTGTTATTTAATATTCACTCTATGAATTCATCATGAAATCTTTTTAAAAAAATGGATTAAATTTAATCTATGCTTAAGTTAGAAAATAAGAACAATAATTCATGAACCTGGCGGATTATAATAATCTACTTTGACTGACGGACACAACAAAGCTGTCCTTAGATTAACCATGTCAAGCAAAGCTTTCACACGTTTATTACCATTGGTAAAAAGCCTCTCGATCACTGGTTATGCAGGTAGTTTATATGATCGGCTACATCCGATTAACATCGGAGAAGCATATAAGAAACATAATATAAATTTTAAATAGTAAGCTGTCTACAAATAGCATTCAGTTTTCATCTTTGTTATATAAAAAGAAAAAAAATCAATCATTATTTTTGACATAAGGACTCGTACAATCTTGGCATATCTTTTTTAAGTTGACAGTCGAGCAGTTTGAAGCTGGCACCCTTACATCTAGCAGCTTAATGTTAGTGACATACACGGCCAAAAATGTATTATAATCACTTCCTGGGGATATTGGAGGCAAATTTGCTATGAAAATAACTTCTAGGGCGCGGACTATATATAAGCTTTGTAACAGTCTAGCAACATGACGTTGGTAGCCTAGCAGCTTGTGTTAGAGGCATATACTAGACACATGGAAACTGCCGAAAAGGCATTGTAATCACTTTCTAAGGACACAAGAAGCAATATATTGATATAAAACAATAAATCTCTATAAGGCGTGGAAAATATATAAGATTCGTGGCAGCCTAGCAGCTTGAAGTTTACAGCCTAGCAGCCTACAGTTAGTGACATGTACTAGACTTACAGAAACGCCCGAAAATGCATTACTATCACTTTCTAAGGATATTTGAAGCCTTGTTGATAGGAAAAATATACAGACTACACATACATTTTTTCAATGTTTTAGTCAGTTTGTTTACAAACAGATTTGTTGTTTTATATAGACATAAATGGGGCAGTTTTGAATTTATTAATTTTAATTTAATTATTAACTTTAGGCTTTTTGTTTGTGAATTATACTAGATCTGTCTGTCCAGTTAATGATAAACATAATGGTTATTAGAGACCACATCCGGAAATAAAGCTCAGAAATAACCAAAACAAATGATCATTCTGTAAGCGAAATGTATAAGTTGATAACAGTTCGATTGAAACACAAAACTATAAAAGCTTGCTATAATTGATCTAATTTTTAAATGACTCAAAACATGTTGCGCAACAATTTGAATATGATTTATTGATACCATATCTCATTTGAGAGTGAACGGCATATGATCAAAACGAAAAAGAAAAAACAAAAAAAAAAATATTCATAATAGCAGAATATGACAATGCCGGCGCTTTATTGTTACGTGCACGACTGGATGTCATGCAACCATAAATATTACATAAGCGAGGGGGCAGCGGGTTTCAGTAAGACAATTAAACAAACACCCTGTGGTAGTATTTCATTTCCATTCTTGGTATATCACAATTGTGTAAACTTTACATGATATATTGCACAATCATCCTTCTATCAATACACCGGATTTTATTGTCACCATGAATTGTTATGTTATATATGACCATATTGTATACACAGCAGAATCATACAACGAGTATTGTAGTGCCTGTTGTGTCATGACTGCAACAGTATAAACTTGGTGAGTAAGAAGTTATGTGAGCATCGTGTAATAATAATTTTAAGAAATTATTTTTGTTTAATTACTTAAAAGGAAACTTAAAAGGAAGCCCCGGCCGGGCTTTCATATAGTAATGATAGCTAAACAAACACATTATCCTTATATGAAGATGAATATTCTGAAAGACATTTTCTAAAGCGACCATTTGACTAGTGAGCCATTGAATATGCTGTGATATTCAATGGCTCACTAGTCAGTAATTGTTTTATTATATGAATGGTCGCGTTAGAAAATGTCTTTCAGTATATTATTATATTAATACTGTTTGGACCAATGGGATTGCAGCTAAATTTAGATTATATAATAATATCTATTATTAATAAGATTATCTTCACCAGAATTGGTGTAACCGCTCTGCACATGATGTGTGATTCCAACTTCCTGCACTAAGAAAGTGCTGTGAGAAAAAATATACACATCAGGTATACCATTTGTAATTAGACATGTGTATTAACGAATTTGTTTAAATTCTGGTAATGAACTTAACTTAAAAAAAGTATTATTTCAGATGTAGAATAATTCATTCTTCATTTTAGATTTAAAATGCTGAACTCATTTCGATTTAAATGATATATAATAATTTATGTGGGATGAATGATACATGAGCACGTGCAAGCGAACTGTATAACCGGGGACACTTCCGGATCTGAATAGGAATGGATGAAAATTCCACGAAGGTTTGTGTGTTATTATGTAATGTCTATGAGGCAAAGATGTTTAAATATAAATTAATGTCCTAAATAATTAAAAACTTTAGTATCTTTCAGTGTATTCTACATATATACATTACTATATCATTTCATTATAGTCTATAGATACATCCGGTTCAGCTTAAAAGAAATATTTACGTTGATATATCTAAATAAAGATAACAGTAATTCGCGAGTATAAATAAAGGGATTTACCTTATATAAAACTGAAAACCTGTAACTCTTTATTAATAATATGCGAAATTACAAATAATTATTCATAAAATTCCCGTTAGTCAAATGACAAATAAGCTATATAACTTTAAGTAGCCGACTTTAAACAATACAAGAACTTGAAAGCTCCTTGGCTAAATGCACCTCTTTTATTAACAGCAGCATCAACGGTATGTTTTAAGCAGTTCATAACATGGCAAAGGATATACGTGTATAGTGTATTTAATAAAAAAAGATGTTACCATATGTATTTATTTTCCCAATACTGATTCAACATTGATTTAAAACACTATATTGTTTTCTTCCATAAAAATTTTCACTTTTAGTTCTAATTCCTTCCGTGCCTCTTTTCCTCCAATCTTAATTGGTTTTCGTAAAGCTTCTATATTCCTTATAATCGTTTGTACATCCGTTTTGCAGTCCGTTTTATAATTTTTTGACAGTGAATTTTCAAGTGCAAAAAACCTTGGTTCTTTGGATATACTCATTTCATTTGTCTTTTGATTTCTAGCAGAAATAAAAGATGGGAAGCTATGAGAAGAAACAGAACGAATGACTTTTTCATTCCCTGCAGTTGATGGCCGTGACCAGTCAGTAGTCATGGCTAAGGGGGTCCAGTCTTCTACTTGTACCTCGCCAGTTTGGTTGAGTAACTTTGTTTGAGCGGGAACTGTACGAGGACGGTTGTTTACATTCCCTGTTGCAAAGTTTTCTCTACGTGGGGAACCAGCCTCAAATTGAACAGTTTTTGGTCGAATCATTGGTGCTATGAACATAAGAGATGAGGCTGAATGTGTGTCACTTTTTGGTCCATCCGCCATGAGTCTCCTTTCAGCAGCGGCTGGAAATGATGCACTTTGTGGTCTATTAAATTTTATCCTAAAACCTTTGCGTTTTTGTTTATCTTTAAATGTCTGTATTTCATGATCGTATTTTGATAATATTTTGAACCGTTCTTTCCCTAATTCCATCATTCTTGCTCGAAGAAGTCTTTCCTCTGTGATATTTTCTGCAAGTTGTCCAGAGTGAATGCGAGATGTTTCGGGCTCATGCTCTTTACCACTTAAAACCCATTCCTCAATGTCATGTAAAACTGATGTTTTCTTTGACTTCAATCGTCCTGCTGGTGCACTTTTTATTCTTGGAGGGTGCATTGTAATAATGTGCCTGTTTTACTGAAAAATACACAAATGTTACATTTAATTTTCAGTAAAAATACTTGTTCTCGGATGGAAAAATGAATGATAAGATATTCACATATAGTGATATCCTTCTGTTATTTAACAAGAAAATAATTTAACATTTTTAAATTCTTAAACTGTTACAGATATTAGTATTTTTGTTCATAGAAACTTATATTTAAATAACTTATGGCGATAAAACTAAATAATATATTTCAAACTATAGAAATTCCTTTTGCATGAAATGATGTTTAAATGTACCACAATTAAAAAAGTTATTTGAATTTTACTGTTCTGTTAAACGTAAATAATAACTTAAAACAAAATATAGACATACATACCTCAACGTTTCTGACTAAAATAATCCTCTATTTTATGAATTTGATTGTGGAAATCCTGAGTAAGAAACCATTGTAATTCTATTGACATTGTATCAATTAATGCCAAATGCTGTTATTTTGCTGAATAGTTAAAGGGCGCATGTTTTAGATATCTAATTATCTGAACAATCATCCCACGGGTTTCCGTTCAAAATCTTCATACTGTGTCAAATTCATGCGTGCCCATTCCATTGTCTGTAAACTTTATATTTTGTAACAAATGATGTCCTGTGAACAAATACTATTCATAAAGTTATTGATAGCTTAATGCTATGTTATGATCCGTTCTGGCCTATCAAATCTGAGACAAAGGTGTACAAATATAGATCACGATACAGTCTTTGCTAAATCATTGAAAATTCAACGTTTCAAATTACATATACTAAACACAGTCTGTCAGCGTTAAGTGGTCCAAGTATCCGCTATATTCATGCTATAATCCTCATCTCCCATTACTATATCGGTTACACTGTTTCCTGGTGCTGATTCAAATGATTAAATTGATCTTTTAAAAAAATGTTATAAATTATTTACTTTGTGCATTTTATGAATTGTTTACCTTTGCCTCCTGCATCTCATTAATGTTTAACAAATTTACCAATTAGATTATTATCTTATCAGAATAATTTATTATAAAAAGATCTCCGTTTAAGCACTCACTTAAACAGAATCATAACAAATTTAGCATAATAAAAATTGGTTTAGTATAATTTAGTTTAAGAAAATTTCGCCCTTGCTCAGTAACGTTTAATAGATATTATACATTTACATATTAAGTAGTCTCAATAAATTTTCGAGCAAACAAAACGATTTCGAATTGTTTACTTAATCGAATCATCTTACGGACAACTTAAATCTTGTTGATTTATTTGAAGACTTGACAAGTAAGTTGTATTTACAGATGTAACGGAAATTATAACAACCAAACTGTCCCTTAGATATGCGTTTAATAATTCAATTTGAAAATGAAAGGTACTGGAATTTATATAAACGAATTTGTTTAAACTTTCGATAAACAAGTTTTATCCATTTAAAGCAAATTCATCGATTTATATAACAATTCAAATGGACTGCCTTTATAATAACATTATGACAATTTTAAAATGAATAACATTGGTTTTCTCTGTACTCGGATTGATTACTATTACAAACTCCAATAGTTACTTGCAAAAATATCTGATCTATGTCCGATATCGACTGATGTTAAAAGTAAAATAATATTTCGTTACCATGTTTGAAATAGATGAGGTTAAAGCATTACACATAAATATGTATTCATCATGATGACTTTGCACAACGCATTAAATAAAATTACAAGTCTGATAACTTTATCTTCAAAATACGCGTGGTTAATTAATCTGTTCTATAATTCATGGCTCTTTTAGGTTTTTTTTTTTTGTTTATTATACAACTTCATCAAAATATCTAAACTGAATCAGGACTTAGTCTTTCTGATCCAAATTTAAGTGTTAATATTTATCAAAAGTTTGAATATTTAGACAAGGAAGGAAGGTTTAATTTAAGTTGGTGAATATGTTAAAGTCTGTATTTTAATGGATAAAATATGCTGATTTGCTGATTTCGGGCTGAGGTACACGCTTAGTTTTCAAGTTACATAGATCAGGTTTTTTTGAAACTGTTTTATTTCTGTTAATATGCCGTCAGGCGTGTTTGAAAATTACCGATGTTCACGTTTTCATATCTTTGTATATAGAGCAAATAATACTATTTGTTCGGTAAAAAAGGGCAAATCATCGTCATTGTTAAGTACAACGCATCCTGACAGGAAAATAAAAATCAAGTTAATTATTCTACTTTGCTGGAAGTATATTGATACAGCTTCAAATATTGACCTGTTTATGGTTTTGAACGATAAAAGTGCGCGGCGCTCTGAATAAAGTTTTGAATGACTAGTACGTTAACTTTGTTCTCGACCTTGTAAATCCATGTTTTATTAATGACCAATTATGGTTTAACAAAGCAGTAATTATTTTGTCGATATACAATACAAACCTTCTTTTATGAATATTTACACAGTAGATATTATTTTCTTTAATTAGTATTATGTGTTTAAATTAGCTTTCGTAGAGTTAAACGTATAAAATAATCTATAATCTATTGTAATTGTTTAAAGAACGTTTATAATTGCTTATCGGGAAGATAATGGCAAATGAAATTTCATCAAAGAATATTTCATTTGTTTTCTGCCTACTATCAAACATTATCGTATTTCTTAAACAAGTGGCAACAAAATCTTAAAAGATACACAGCCGTAGTGCTCGTAGCGAAAATAGAACACAAACCGTCCCTGTTTTGATATTTACTGTGCATATTACGGAGACCGTGATGATAATGGAGATGAACGTTATGAATATATAAATCTGAACACAATGTGCATGACGAGGATTTCTAATTTGATAATTTTGACACTAAATTCAAAACAATACAATAACTTTCACAATATTCAAAAGAACTGTTACGTTATGCTACTTTTTGCACATCATTTTCATAGAACTACTTATCCGTGACGGACGATAAGTTTCACATGCGAAATATGCCTGCACGATAAATCTTTTGTTTTTAATAATACATGTAATTTCATCCTTTAATTAAACTTTACATATACATACATATAAAACATAAATATAAAGACAATGAAAAATGAAAATCCATACGTAAAATATTATAAGAGACTCTTTTTTATGTTAATAGGAAAGAAAATCCTTAGCACATCTTACCATAGTGTTACTGTATATACACTGCAGATATATCATACGAGCATGCATCAGACAGGCCATTTTAAATTAACTTCAAAAAAATAAAGTTTTAGTAAATTTAATTAAAAAATATTACACACAAATAATGAACTGTTATATTCACTTAAAATGTAAGATTTTTGTTAAAAATCGTACACTTCTTTTTAAACGTACATGTTTAAGTATAAGTGACCTGCTTTCATTTCAAATAATATCAGTGGATATGTTACATTGGTCCGTGCTCAAGGGTTGGGACATTTATAACAAGGGAAACTACCGTAAACGAATAAGGTTCTGATACAGGAATGGGCGATCATTTTAAAACGATATTTACGTACCTTTGTTGTGTCAATAAGACAGAGGTGTATATTAAGGATATATATTTCTTGCATATCAGACTGGCGTTTCCGTTAGTTTTACCCATGCCGGAAATTTCATCTGGCATGGGGGGTTCCAGATGAGTCGCGTGCTGTACAATGGCACGATAAAGATGACGTCATTTTACCTTTATGAATGATTTTGTAATTCATACGCTGTTATATGAAAGTAGTAACGGTTGTAATGATATAAATTTTCATTGAAAATAAAGATAAAGAATTTAAAATATAATGGAATATGGTAGAATATGCAAGAAAAAATATCTGACATATGTTTGCGGTTCGGATCGGAATATCCGTCCCTCGGTCACCCGCCCATGGGCGGTAACTCGGCAAGCCTCGTTACCGCCCAATGGGCGGGTCACCTCGGGACGGATATTCCGATCCGAACCGCAAAATATGACAGATATTATTAATATCTCTTCTTTTGAGTCATTATTCGGCTATTATTGCTTTGATGCCGTTGATATCTATTGTTACGATTCTTGCGATTCATTCTTTTATTCATTTTTTATTTATCGTCTACTTTGTGCAATTTATGAATCATTTACCATTGCCACCTGCATATCATTAATGTTTTACAAATTTACCGATTAGATTATTAACTTATCAAAATGATTTATTACAGAAAGATCATTTGCAGGCAGTTTATGGTGGCTGATTAACGCCATGTCATGTTTTCGCTTTTTTCGCCACGAAAATGCGAAAACAAGAACATATGACAAATTCAACTGTGTCGTATCTATTGTGTTTCTCATTCCAGCATTTTCGTGGTCGTCAACTTTGCCATATCTTCGTGTTTTTATCAGTAGACGAAAAACCGAAAAGACAACATGGAGTAAATCAGCTATCATAGGCAACGCGTAAGGCAACGCGTATGAGGTATGTTGTAAATTTCAATGATATCGATTCCGATATAACTCGAACATATAAATAGGTGCTACGTTAGAAGTGCTTTTCTTTGCTTTTATTGTTATTTTCTTAAATTTATTCTAAGTATCCTTATATATCATTATAGAAATAATAATTAAGCGTGTTTGATTTAACCGCCGGTACTGACAGAATTACTTACCACAACATTAAACCGAGCCTGCAACATTGTCAATGTTGCCGTTTTGAGCGTTATTTATAGGTTCCGTTTTTTTTTTCAATGTAATTTCATTTAGTATGTCATTTGTGTTGTATACGCCACGTTACAACATATAGACTCATGCTAGATGAGTGAAACCTTTTAGCTTTCATATAAGCATATAAATTCATATTTAAAAATATCATGTTTGTCTATCGCATGTATCAGTTATATTTCACTATATCATCAGTTCAATAATAACAAACATTTGTATGAATGTAAAAACATTTGCAATGTATGAATGCAATAGTTTTGTACATTCTATTACTTTGTCATCTTTTTGAAAGCATATTATTATAGTATGTGTTTTATCATATCAAGTTTTATTTATTATTTCTTTTTGTATATTTCACAACGATCACAATTCTTTAACAGAAATATCATGATTTTAAGAGTTCCTTCTTTCTTTTGCTAAGGGCTCGTTTTAAATGACAAGGTCTCGGTTGTTTTTTAATCCACAGTACTGACGACCAAACTGTTATTAAGGACGTATTGTTATTCGCACATATTGATAATCAAAAAATAGTTTGACAAGTAGAAACGCAAAGTCGGTCAAATATTGAGATATAACATGTATGTTAACACATTCAAATCATTGCTTTAAACGCGTCTTTTATGTATATAAAAAGCATTTACTTTGCCTTTGAACCATTTAAAAAACAAATTACTGCACTGAAATCAATAAGGGGTATTTGTTTATTTGCACATATATATCGATATACGCGTTGATAATTAATACTCGTATATGATAACATTAAACAACCCATACAGAGGTATTATGATATACGACAAGTATAAAGATTAATCCCGGTGGTTGTTAGGCTTATTGAGCATGTAACAGAAGATTTTCTGCCCCATTGATCATTAATTTAAACCACTGACGGATTTATAGCATTGGATTTCGACTTTCTGTGTATCAAAGAATTGAAAATACATGAATACCGATTTAAAAAGCCATTTGTCATGTTAAGCGTTTAGTTTTAAAAGAGTGATACATGATTCTATAGACGACCAAACAAATATGTAAGTGCTCAGTTTTATGCTATTTTAACTAACAATGTTTTAAATTTTTTAGCTTATATATCTATTGTCAAATGTTTGTTCTATTCTTATTTATTATACTTATTTAACGATATTTTTTCATTTTAAATAATGTTTGATTTTTTAATGATTAAAAAACGAAATCGGTAGTTAGATTATTTCACGGATTAAAATCTATTTAGCAATTAAGGGTATATATAATAAACAATGTATAAAGGAAAAGCAAACAAGTTATCTATGTACATTTAATTTATTATGTCTTTGAATAAAATTAATACTTAAATTGTTTTAGACAACTACATACATTTGAAACTATTCTACAAAACAAGAAGAGATGGCGAATCGTGTTTCATCACCAGACTCTGCTTCGAGTTCAGCAGATTTACCAAACGTACACGGACTCAGTAAGGCGCATGCACATCCTGAGGAATGGACTCTACCACACGAGTGGAATATTGAAAAGCGAGAAATGTTTGATGTAAGTGTTACAGCATAAAATATTATGATGAAATCTTAAATAATATTGTTACCATAAGCTTTTTTTATCTGTCTTTGTCTTAATAAGGACTCTCGTATTATAAACAGCGTGTTATTAGAATTATACCCTACATGTTGTTATCAGTTTGTTTTTATGAATATTTGCAGAATTGGAAAATGGACGTGCAGAATCAAATCTCGAACATTGCAGGGCAACTGGTACGATTTGTTTTATAATCTTTTAAAACACCGTTCAGGGATATATTTTTATCCACTTTTTTACATATATTTATAAATGTTTACAAGCACCACTCAAGGGATTTTCTATTGCGTAATTAATCATATATGTATATTAACATCATTTTGAAATTTAAAAGTTTTGTTTTGAATCTATGACTGTTAGTTTAAACGTTTAGTCATAATTATTCTTTCGGATCGTTTGTCGAACTTTTGACAGCAACTGTATGACGCTAAAGTAAAGACGAAATGTAAGTTTAAACTAACCTGTTAAACTTACAGTTTGTCTTTAAAAGCCAAAGCATTTGTTTATTTATGAGCATATAATGACTTTATGAAAGAAAACAACAACAACATCAGCAGCATTTCAATTTAGATGAAAATCATTCAGTAACTTCAGTGTCATTGTATTACCTTCCAATTGATTGCAATAGCATAATAACAAATTTTATATCGAACAATTTATCTATATTTTCGTGCAGACTCATTCCCTGGAAAAACATCCTAGAAGTGACATTGTAAAGTTAGACTACAGCGATGCAATTGAAGACAACGAGTTACATAAAGCTGTTATACAAAAAGAAAGACAAGCAGGAAATACCTTAAACTACGGACTAGCAAGAGTTCCTGTTCCTAACAGATAATAAAATACTTTTGTTTTATCTAGGGAAACATAAGAACTCCGAGCAGCTTTCAATTTGTTTGCAAATAGCTTTGCTTGAATCTTTGTGTTAAGGTAGTGGAACATACATTCCCTAAACTTATTTATATATGAACATCTGCCATACAGTCAGTATTGAGATATATTGTTTCTTGTTCTTGTTATAGTCTAATAAACTTACTTTTCTTCTTACATATATAATTAGACATTTGATATTCTTAATCAGTCTTTAAACCTACAAAATATCACATTGAAAATATGCAGCTGTGTGTTTTTCTGTTTTCGTCATGGTTTACGAGTACATTATGTTTCTTCTTCTATTCGCAAATAACATCATCTTTCAATCAATGGTGTGGAATGGGTGTAACTATTACAAATCAATCTAACATTCATATGAAAATGGTAATATTTATTTTTCTATTCATCTATTATGCATAATCCAATACATGTTTTCATATTAAAGCCTTTTATAGATATGCATTGTAAATATATAATTGATTGTGGTTTGATGAGTTTACACATAGTAATAACTATTTTGGCTCATGGTCATTATATAAATTTGCCATGCGTGTTTTGTGCAATTCGGGTGCTGTTGAAATTATAAAACATTAAAAATATGATAAATTGTTCCGTGTGTGTTTTTTTTCTTTTATACTATTAAGTGATAAGTCTTAAACCAGTTTAGACTGACTTAAATGCAGGACTGCTTGCAGTTGTTTTATATGTGACGTAAATGATGTCAAATATAATTAACCAGTATGTTAAGCAAAGACAATACGGTTTAATGGTATTTCAAAGATTTATTATGCCTTGCATAATCATCATTTGACTTTCTCAAGTCCCCAAAGAGAATGCTAGGGTGATCATCGTACTCAAAAATACGAAAGTCGGATTCATAAATTTTACTTATCATTTCTAAATCATTTATAGGTACCTTTGAGTACATTTGTAAGAAATGTTCTTTCTGCAGTTGTTTTCTTTCATCTGACGTAGAAGAAAAACGTGCAGCTTTTGCTAGTTCAATAAATGCTTGTTCTGATATATTATTTATATGCAACTCATCCAACGGAAAATCTTGTCTTCCAATTAAGCCTCGTATTTGCATTTTCTTCCATGATCTTTGTAAAGCTTGTTTAAAGCTGATGCAATGAGCGTACTGTTTCTGGAAATATTCATCAAAAGGTTGATGTGCTGTATCTTCAATGGCATCAAGCCATGAAAATCGATTTTTCTTGTCTTTGATTATATCCATTGTTTTACGAGGGAGTTTTAGGTGTCTACCTAGCTCTACCACATCTTCAGTAAAACTTTCCATCTTACCGACAAAATCGTAATGTGCCGTACAAGGCTTACACAAAGAGGTCATTCTATCAAAATGCCCATCAGGTTTTGCACTCCTTTGCTTAGGATTAAGAGCTTTTATTACGTATTTGACGTACTCATGGAATTGAAGGTCATGACCACATTTAAGACTCGTAACATTTGGATGTTTCCTTGTTTTTCGTATTGCGGGAATACCTATTATTTTCCAATACACAGGGTTTGGGGCTAACAGTTTGTCTACATATCCTGACGTTAATCGATAAAACGGATTTCGAACAAACATAAATCTGCTTGTAACACTGTCTTGTGACATTGACGCAGTTGGAAGAAAACGCTTATCAAAACGAATGCTGTATGGATTAATAACATTTTTAAAAGCGGGTATCTTTTTCATCATATAAAGTCTTTTAATAAAAGTAGTCCCTATTTTCCAAATAACACAGGTTTCTGTAGAACCCCATTTATAGACACCAAACACTTTAGTTCGCCTCTTAGAAGACTTTGTTCTTCGGCATGCAGCGTTTATTCTTTTTGCAAGGTTATAACCATCTGAAACCTTAGCCTCTGTAAGACTGCCAAAGCTCGTTGAATTCACACATCGCTAGATAAAGAGAGAGAGCCATTCATATTTATTTTTCCACATTAAGAAGAGCAAAATATCTTATAAACAAGCTAGAGTTTTGTAACATTAGTGCTCCCTGGTACCGCTCTGACACGGATGTAGTATATTCATTGGCAGGTAATTAAAGAAAGTAAAAATAAAAAAAAATGCCAGATACCTACCTAAAAGTGATATCGGTCAGCTAATCGTATGAATGAAAGTACTATGAGAAACGGTAAAGCTGTCAATAAACAAGAGAAAAGTTACGAAAATAAAAACTACAAACCAGCAACCACATGAAATCATTACAAAATAGTGTACTTGTTAATTTCACAATATATTTCTTACCGTTGTATTCTGAATATGTTTGTGAGAACGAAGTCTACGAGTTTTCCCATGCACAAACCTTGAAATATCTTTGGCGATCCTTTCACCTGAAGTAAACATTTTCTTCTACAATTTCATTTACATGCAAAGTGTATATGCATGTAAGCTTTTTTTCTTGCCAAGGAATCTAACGGGCTCCATCGGAAAGCAAGTATGTGGACTTTGTAACGTGTTAAAAAAGTTTGCCATTGATAATATATTTTTAAGGGAATAAGCTCTGGCATGAGTTAAATTTTTTTAAAGCAATCACAACTACAACAATTTGATCGGCTTTTATCTGTTTGCCAACACATCGATGGGAAAAGAACGTCATCTGCATGCCAGTCCTGTGCTTTTCTAATTAAATACCAATTAAATATGTATACCTTCTGAACGATAAATGTAATTTACAAGCATCTAAAACATTGCAGAAAGGCTAAGTTTTTTATGCACTGTTATTTAAGATCAACATAAGTAACCATGATAACACAAAAACATACATTTGGATAATAGGGAGAATATAGTCAAAATAAGATATAAATAACAAAAACAAGTAATGGAAAAACTATAATGAAATATTTGCTAATATTTATAGATTCTCCAAAAGATGACTCATGTTCAAATAATACACTAAGAGTTGCATACGGATTCTCTTACATCGTTTTACAAATGACAGCATTGATAAATCCCTACTCTGACCTTTTATTTGAATAACAATATATTTAACAAGAAAAGCATTGATGCAAAGCATCAAAGGGCGTCCAAGCAAGAAATGCAGAAAGTGAAGATGAACTAGTAGACATATGATGACAAGATATTCTTATAAACTTTTCAATGGTTAATTAGTTTTTACCAGAATGAACGGACGAAAGACATTGTTCATTATGAACTTTGATTGGCATGCTAGAGATTAGAATATAACTTGTTATTTCTTTATGATCGTGATTATTAATAGCAACGGATATACATGTATACCGGTACCATCATTTATAATCCATATGTGTAACGCATGATCAACACCACACTTGTGGAATTGTCTCTTATTATGTTATCGCTATTAGCGAAGACCCCCTCTTAAGGTATCTGTTCACACTTAGTAAAAATATGACACTCATGGTTATATTACCATGTTGATCATGTTGAGCATAATTGTTTATCATACAATAATTGTAATATCTATTTTAATATGAAAAATACAGATTTTATGAATATTGTTTTCCTCTCTTTTTTGTGTTTTATGTGCTATTTTAATACTGAGTTTTTACGTTTACTACTCTTTTTTTATCAAATTGTAAAATATTTTAAGAATTCAATTGTCATATTGACCGATGATTTTAAGTCAAAACTTAACTGGAAAAAGTCAGTAAATTATGCTTAATCTTTCAATATATAATATTGTTTATTCTTAAACAATGTACATGTACATTTGTATTTTATTTTATCATTTTTTAAATTATCAATCAATTGAATAATTCATAAAATCTAATTTGTAACTTTGAATTATTCCTCGGCATCTTTACTAAACACGAATAACAAATTAAAAAAATATTTCAAAGTTGATAGTGTCATATTAATACCATAAAATGTACCCTTTTCTCAATTATTGCACATATTTATTGTTTTTATCTCATATAGATAAAATGAAACATGCTAGTCTTGTTGTTGTTGGTTTTTTTTCCGAATTGTATGTTTATGTATAATAATAATCAATAAATTTGAGAGTTGATCTGTATTTATTAATTATTGTAACCAAACTAAGTGACAAACATTCATTTTGGAAAAAAAGCTTATTTATCTGTAAAATATTTGTTCTGTTCTGTAAGTACTAACGATATCAAACATCTACTCTAAAACCGGGAGAGACCGGACAATAAACGTGTGATACTATTCGCCGGTCACTAGTAAATCCCTGTCAAAATAGACAGTACATCCCTCTATAAATAGATTTTCGGAATGTTTAGGTCGTCATTTCATGCATTGCGAAATTCTCCAGTTCGCTATTCATTGTACATATCGAGACATTTTTTTTAATCAAGCACCCTCATACCGATCGGAATGATCGGCTTTTATTATGACCGACTAAAAGGCTCGAGAAGTTGCTGTCGCCCATTCACAAAATCTGATTTCATTCCATAAGGGCGCCGCGCTCCGGCGCGGCCGCCAATCACAAACATTGCCATGCGCTCTTTTGTTGACAAATATGTTGTATTGTATTCACTAATCTGATAAGGTCATAAAAAATAAAGAAAACAAATCAATTGATTGATATTCTCTAAATTAGGGAACACATTTTTTTGTTTATTTTCCTTATACGCTAATTACTTTTTACATGGACACAGCTAAGTCCGGTACAGCTTTATTCTTAAAAATCAAGCACTTAACGGAGATGGTTAAACCCACCAATATATTTTTGTTAAAAATGTAAGTAGCGTAAGATGATTTTAAACACCCCAAATTGTATGTGCTTCATATAATAAAAACTGAAGAATGTATTATTATATGTGCAAGATAAATTCATACAGGTTCACATACTTCTCCAAATGCCCCACCCGGCGAGGCGTGCACATCGCGGAGAAGGGGCACGACAGGTCAAGGTCAAGTCATTCTACGCATGAGGGATAAGTGGTTGAATATCTGAGGGTTTGTGTAAAACACAAGTGTCTTTAATCAATTTTAAAAAAAGAGGAATGAAGTGTCGGGGTGGTGAAGTGTTTGTAAATCAAGATAATATATCCGTATATAAGGTGCCCGATGTGTTGTTAACAGGATACAAAAAGGTAAGTTATCTGTGACATCAAAACATTTTCTTGGATTTGCTCATTTACATTATTATGAACAGATTGACAAATTTTATGAATATTCCCGAAGCACTTAAAATTGAAACGCAGCGAAAATAAAAAAGGCGAACGTATCATTTAAAAATAAATTGAAAATAAAAAACATATATAAAAATACAAAAAATACCTGTAAATGGCAAGTTGTTTGATATAAAAAGCATTGATGCAGCCAGTATCGTCAATTTTATAGCATTTCTCTTGCCGCACTTCATTTTAATCACTTTATAAGCCAAGGCACAGTTTACCAAGCATATATCTGAAATTAATAGTATAAATATGTTAATTATGAGTGTGCAAATAGTTTATTAAAAAGTTTATATACCGACAAGTAACATGAGTACCTTAATTAAGGCAAGATTCATTAGAGCGACAAGGAATCTTATTTATTTTATTATCAAACAACTTATACTAATAATTATTGGTTACATGTAACATAATTAAACTTAATTAACTTAAAGATTTTATTAAAATATGAAAAGACGTCTTTTGTTTATTGAATTAAATTTGAAAGTTAGAAAAAAAGGTGATCGTGTTACGAAACAACTTCGTCCAGTTTTTCAATAGGATGATGTTCCAAAACTAAGATAATTAAAGTTACAGTATTACCGCACGATGGTTAATTAGGTCGAATATGATTCACCAATAACTAAATGGTAACTAGCAACACTGTTGATGTAGGAATGTTACCAAATCATTCTCAAACGACGAACAGGCCGCTCTCATTTAAATGATGATGATGATGCTGATGATGATAGATGTTGGTGGTAAATGTCAGTTTTACTAGTATGCTAAATGATAAGTGTTCATAATTGTTGTAAAAATACATTAATCGGGCAATAGAGTTTGTTAATAGAAATATACTTATTACAATGTACACATACATTGACTTACAAACTTAGAAATTGTCTATTTTACTGACATAAAGTAGTCGTTTTACTTTAGATATGATGATGTTCATGTGCAGCGATTTTAGACATTAAACACAATATAGATCCCATGGTTTGTAATTTATCAGTACATATATACATCTGAACGAGATAAAGAAAAAAGTACGAATGGATTTATGGAGTTAAAACAATTAATTATGTTTTTCACTTAAAGGGGTGTGTAAAAACGACAGCTGGTGTGTGTACTTTAAATTCTGTATATTTGCATTAGCTATAATTGTTTTAGCTATATATTGTTAGCACCAACTTTATTCACGTCACATTATTTGCCCGATCAAAGCATTGTTGACCACACCAATTTTTTTTGCACTACCAATATATTGTATTCAAATTAAACGGTTAGTAATTATAATTACCATCATACAACTATATGTAAATACTTAGAAGTATTTGGTAATAAGGTTTGTAAAATAATCGGGCCTTTCTTTAAACAAACAATCATAAACTGTTTTACGTCATTTTGTTTGAAAGCGATCAATTCGTACTTTATATCTGCCCAATAACAGCGGTAGGCGCGCAAAATGTACACTTTCATTTAGAAAGGTTTAGCTTGGTTTTATTAAGTTGTAATGAGATTTCTGCAAAACCATAATGACAACTTCTATACAATATCATTTTCTTTTGGTTTTAGTTGTCTAACTTTCTGTCCTCTGTTATAACATTTGCTACAATTCTTGTTTATATGAATTTGTATTTGAAGTTCTTGCTTAATCATTTGTTTGTATCATAATTTATTCTTAGATAATAAATACGTACGGCTCTGCCAGACATTATCTTTGTATTACCTCAACTGATTACGACACAAATAAAAAAGGAGGAACATATACCATGGTAATAGTAAAGCATAAAAATAAAATTATTACTAGCAGAAGCATTACTCAGAAGAACGTTTTAAGCAAAACAATATTCAAGAGAAAAGAAACAACACTTTAAGCGTCTTACCAATACAACTGGTCTTGTCAAATAACAGAGACGAGGATTTCAAATCTCTTCATGATTTTAAGACTAGAACACGTATTTCTGTTAAAAGAGACTATTGTGAAGTGTTTAAGTAAATTGATAATGATTGTGATAATGATCTTTGATACATAAAAACATTCGTTGTTCGTGAAAGATTTTGACAACAAATACGTAAAAAATCAGCGAAATTTCTCACCTTGCTTATCACTAAATGTCCAGTGTCGCTAAAATAAAAAATTCCAGATAAATACCAGGTTCTATAACAATAAAGGTTACACACTCTTTCATTTACAAAGCCCGATTATGAAACATAGTAAACATTTACAGGTGAACAACAAGGTTGGTCAGTTTAATGAAAATCGTTAAAACGTTAAAGCACAGGTCATTTATAAATAAAACGTCCAATATTTGCGTCCACTAGAAAACATATTTGTCCAGGAAATTGAATTATATCTTATCTGTAATTTTTTTGATAGAAATCACAATTCTAGGTTGGTACATTTGTTGACAAGGCATTACATTACATCATGATTAATTTATTTGACTCATCCATATAGTAAAGTAATTCCAAACTATTCAATTGCCATATCAAAAGAGATTTTAGCGATTTTATAGCTGGATTTTAATTGAAAAGGCTTGAAAAGAACCGTATCATTATTCACCAAAAAGCTGAAAATGTGTACGTCAATTTTAAAACAACACGTACCAGTCAGAAATCAATATTGTCAAAATTATCGAGGATTTCACGAAAACAGTTAAATATATGAAAGTAAATTAATAACATGTATCTTAAAACGGCAGATTATGCCTTAGTTCTTTAGACCTTGCATAAAAATAATCAGTATAAGTTAATGTTTACATGATCTCCATACTAAATAAATATACTTATTGGTCTTTGAACATGTCTGTCAGTCTATGTGCAAATTATTCATTTAATACGTGGTTCGTGCAAACTATAAAATTGTTCTTGTAAAACTTATCTCATTTTAAAGAACTCAAAATAGCAATAATTATGGTAAATAACTTTCTTTCATTGACTCATTTCTATTTCATTGTTGTATTTTTCAATAATCGTTGTAAAATCTCTGATTTTGAAAGCAATTTTTTTCATATTTTACGAAAAAAAAATTTCATGACTAAATTAATGTTAAGAGATGGCCTATCCACGCTTCCGTCACTACTACAATGAGACAAATACATTGGTTGTAGATGTAAATGTTATCAAAATGACTTTATCGGTCTTTGTTTATTCAAACTGTGTAAAACGCAGATTGTTTCTTAACGTTTTAAGTTTTAACATTTCTATATTAAGAATTAAAAAAAACCTATGTAAAAAAATTTCGGTTAATCAATTTCAGAAAATAGAGTATAAAATGATAAGCCTATATTTAGAAGTTTGCAGGAGTTAAAATCGTAATACAAATGTCATACAGGCATGATCGAATGATTAAATTCTTAAATGAAAATATACAACAATTCATTTGTTTAACTAATATTGCATTCCCATACAAAAAATAATATGACAATACTTAATCTTGCATTCAAATATATAACAGATTAAAAGGTTGAAAGAAATTAAATTATACTTATATAAAACATTTCTACATTATGATACTGAACGTTTGTAACTTCGTCTTTCATGGTAAAATCATGACGTTTATATAATCTATATACACGATTTATAAAGCAATCTCAATTTTTCTTTCTTAATAAAGGAAGTTTGCATGATTTTAAATTCGTTTAAATGATTATTGACAGGTTATATGACCATGTATAAACGGTAATGTGCTATATAATTGTTTATATAGGGCAATAATTACAACATGACAAAAATCTATATAACGAATAATATGTAGGTTGTCAAATGGGTTAACATGTAAGTTTTGATTAGTGCACTGTAAACCTTCTTTAGGCATGAATACTCTGTAGACATCTGTTGTAAATTGGAAGAAAAATTAACCCAAATGAAAAAAATAGGATGGGAAAAATAAAAATTAAAACTAAAACCCGATGAAATGTTTTAAACCATAATTGTATTTCAGATTTCGTTAGAGGGGGCAGAGACAAAACCATTTGTTACACAATGTATTTGTGGGTCTGGGAAAAGCTTTGTGATCGATAATTCCTGATGTTATGCACGGGGAGTCATCTGAAATGTAAAATGATGCTGTGCTTTACCCCCTTCTCTCAATTTCTGCAAAGTTTGGCTATTATTATTTTTTGATTCTTGGGAATATACATGTATGTATTTTATATTATGTGTACGCCGCTTCGTTGTATATAGTAGCAATATCTTATGAAAAATGAAACAAAATCATGGTTATCTGATCGATATATATGCTTTCATGGATTAATGTTTTAAAATACAAGTATATATATTTCAATGATGGGATGAAACACGCAAATGATTCTAAATAATTTCTTATTCAAGATTGAACATACATGTATATAAACAATACGAGTTGAAATACGCTGGAACTGTAAATAGGTTTTCTACACTCAGTGAATGTTGATCGTGCAAAACCTGGTCGATATTGAATTTAAGCTGGAAAATAATACATAATTAAAAGTAACATTCAAAAGACGCATCCATGTTTGCAAATAATATAAGCATACAAATTACAATTAGATGCATAAAAAATGTGAACAAACGATCTGATTACTCAAGAAATATCGAGATAATTTTTCAAAACATCTTACATGATTTATCGTAACTTGATACATTCCGAATAAAATATCGCGTTTAACATGTTCAAAACGATTAGCGTGTATCTGAAATTGATCATAAATGGCAAGATGAATGTTCCAGGTTTTTACTAGCACTGCTATTATGATATAAATACCATATTCGATATAAATATAATTTGAAAGAAGCCAGCAGTAACAGAAACATCATTTACTTCCTAAAACCCTTTATAAACACCATGGGGATACCGGAACGCGACCGCAGAACGTTTTTATATGAACTCTATTAAAGTTTCTTTTGTTTCTAAATGTTTCAAATGTTGGCTCTATGTTTAAATTAGCAGATCATTTTAAATTGAAATCATATTTTTAAGAAACCAGCCACTCAGAGCATATAAGAAGTTTGGACAAACAAACATTCCCGAGACAGTTAAGTGAATGTAGTCTTTTTAATAATTAGAGATTATCAGATAATTTAATTACTATCATAAAGTTTCATATTTGCATCTCACTTAAGTTCAGATCTTCTTAAGTTTACATTTTAAACAAAGGAAGATCTGGGTTTTAGTCAAATTTGTTCGCGTGAACTTCATTTTTAAAAAATGTAAAGAAACACGCATTAGTTATTTATTATGTATATTTATTAACATG